CACTCTTTCTCTCCACTTTTTTTTAACACACATATAAAACCTTACACAAAATCTTTATTTATAGATTCTTAATAATTCTTACCCAAAAATGAAAATCAGTAACTTACAAAAAAAACACAAAATTGTAATGTTCTTAAAACTAATTTGAGACACTTACTCAACATAAGTTATAACTTAGTGATAAATTCACATGCACGTCAAATATCGTGTAACCTACTAAATAAAAGATAGAAAAAAAAAAGGTCGTAGGTCAATTTAAAGTTTACGCCACTCGGTCAAAATTCAAAATTAGTGTACAATATTTCCAGTTTCTTATGGTTCAAATTTTGTAGAGAAGAAATAAAGTTTCTCCTCTTTTTTGGTGTGCCTATTTGAAAATTGAATTACTCTTATCCAAATAATATTTTTTGATGGGAAAATGTAGAGAAGGCAAATAGAATAATATTTGGGTTGTTCTTTTGAAGTATAATTTGAATGTAATTTTTAAATTGAATTTGAGTTATAACTTAAGTTAAAATTATAACTTAAAAGAACGTGAACTTAAATAAAATTATAACTTGAATTTAAATTTTTTCTGAGTTTTGTTAAAAAAAAACAACCCCATTGTCTTGACGAGAGTAATAGAATAATAGAATAAAACTATCCAAGAGAGTAATAAAGGCAAATAGAATAAGGGAGGTAAATTGAGGGAAGAAGTTTTGAAGGGGAAATTGAAAAATTTTGCCGTAGGCATGTTGGAAAATGTCAGTATGAATTTACAGCAGTGCAACAGAACAGTTGAAATTATTTATTACACTCACAACTACCGTTTAATTACAATGCCTATTAAAATCACCTACACACCCCATGATCTCTGCCTTGAAAGAAACAATCTTCCAAACTCACATTCCACTCTTCACACAACAGAGCTCTGTTACAAACAAAACCAAAAAAAAAAACTCTTTCTCAAACACAGTCAACATTCATGGCTGCTAGTAAACAAAGGTTGTGGTGTTTTGTTTTGGTCATGTTACTAGCACTTGCAGCCGGTGTCTCGGGCCAAAGTGGTGTAGAAGAGCCGGTCGAAGCGGGTCGTGGTGTGGTGCCTGCCATGTTTGTATTCGGAGACTCTCTCATAGACAATGGCAACAACAACAACCTTGCTTCTTTCGCCAAGGCCAATTACTTCCCCTATGGCATTGATTTCAATGGAGGTCCTACTGGTCGGTTCTCCAATGGCTACACCATTGTTGATGAAATTGGTTTGTTCTCTCTCTCTCTCTCTCTCTCTCTCTCTATATATATATATATATATATATTTCTATATATATATATATATATGTATTAGGTGGCACTTGATATTAAATTTATGCACACACTTTAAGCTACATGTTTCCATTGGTTTGCCAGATTGCTTCGCATGCCGTGAGTCTTGAGTCTTCGTAACTAGCTTTTATATATATATTTCTATATATATATATATATATGTATTAGGTGGCACTTGATATTAAATTTATGCACACACTTTAAGCTACATGTTTCCATTGGTTTGCCAGATTGCTTCGCATGCCGTGAGTCTTGAGTCTTCGTAACTAGCTTTCAATAACCAAGCTTTATGGAGAAAAAAATTAAATTAAAAATTACCACGATACCAGTTATCTATTTTTACCATAGTTTCAACACATTTAGATGATGGTGAAGTAGGTGATTTGATCAGAGTGTTGCTTAGAGTATGACTTAAGTTACAAGAACACGACAATACTTTCATTGGTTTCATGTGTAGTACAGGGGATCCCAACTTTTTTGATACCAAATAAAATCGTGATGAGTTGTCGTCTTTTCGCTAATAAATTGATGGGGTGATATTTTAAACAAAATGATAATTCGCATGTCAAATTGGTATTAAAAAAGTTGAGATCCCTAGCATTATCTTTTCTTTCTCTTCTGTAGTTAAAATATGTTTTTATATGCAGCTGATTTGCTGGGACTTCCTCTAATTCCTCCATACTCCGATGCTTCTGGAGACCAGGCCCTTCATGGTGTCAACTATGCCTCGGCAGCAGCCGGAATCCTTGACAATACAGGCCGAAATTTCGTAAGCATGCATGCATTGTTCCACATTACATATTATAAGTGGCACCTTTTCCTGTTTTTTTTTTTAATTGTTTCATTCACTTGTACAAATTGAATTTCATGTACTGCTCTTGAGTTTTTAGGTAGGTCGCATTCCGTTCAATCAACAAATTAAGAACTTCGAGAACACGCTCGATCAAATAACGGGTAATCTCGAGGCAGATGATGTGGCACGTGATCTAGCGCGCTGTATCTTCTTTGTGGGAATGGGAAGCAATGACTACCTAAACAACTACCTCATGCCCAACTACCCTACCCGGAATCAGTACAACCCTCAACAATATGCTAATCTCTTAGTTCAACAATACACTCAGCAGCTCACTGTAAGCTATATGCAATCACCTCAGTTAATGGTGTTTGGTTGAAATTTGTGTTGAAGTAAACAATTATCAGATTAATTGCATACTGAGTAAAGAATTAAGATTAAGTAGTACAGCACATGCTTTATTAAGTGTACATTTATATTCACTTTCTAAATTTTCATGCCATATTTGATACAGAGACTATACAACCTTGGAGCTAGGAAATTTGCCATTGCAGGATTGGGCCTAATGGGCTGCATTCCGAGCATCTTGGCCCAAAGCTCAACCGGAAGCTGTTCACAAGAAGTGAACCAACTGGTCATGCCTTTCAATGCAAATGTGAAGACTATGCTCAACAACCTAAATGCAAATTTACCCGGTTCCAAGTTCATATTTGTTGACATTGCAAGGATGTTCCAAGATATCCTCACTAACTCCAGATCATATGGTAATGTGCATTTTGCATTATGGCAATGACTTCTTCAGCCATGTTTTCTTATTCTTTCCTAATTGTTTTTATAGGTTTCGGTGTGATAAATCGTGGATGTTGCGGGATTGGACGGAACAGAGGGCAAATTACATGTCTTCCGTTCCAAACACCATGTCAGAATAGACAAGAGTACGTCTTCTGGGACGCATTCCACCCTACAGCAGCGGTGAACATCATAATGGGAAGGGAGGCCGTCCGCGGGAACCTTAGAGTTGCTTATCCCATAAACATAGAGCAGCTTGCCAATCTTGAAGTTAAGACTAACTAGTACAAACTGCTAATTTCATTACTATGACGTCTACAGTTTTGATGGCCTAATTGGCTTATATTAGCCTTGTGGGGTATTTTCTTCTGAAAGTTTTCTTAACGCTGGAGGTTTCAAAATTACTTATCAAAAACCATTGAGCTTGTACTAATTCCGTGATTAATAACTTTTGTATGGTTTTAATTATTTCAAGTACTCAACAAAGAACCGTGTTACCCCTAATTGGATCTATAAAACTAAGGAGAATTCTGTGATGGGGTGTGAAAAACTACCAGCTTGAGAATACATAATTTTTAACTATCATATCACATCAAACTCTTTACTCTTACCAAATTAAAAGGTGTTAATAGTTTCATGAAACTTGATAAAGATCTAGGGTTAAAAATTGTATTTTTGTCGGTAAAGATATAATAAATGGCAATAAGCACATTTATGTAATATGGCAAAAGGAATTACAGGAATTACCAAGGCAGGTAGGTCTTAGAATTAAATTACACAGAAATCTGCATTGCTGGAAATAAATCAACACACAATGTAGTACATAGAGTTTACTCAATTTAAATGGCCCAGTTACTCTATAGCATTGCCAATTCTTGGATGTTGATGGGATATGTATAGGACTGCGGTTTGGAGCTGTAAGCAGCCTTGCCAAATATAATATTTGCAGCTTCTGTTGGATGAAAAGCATCCCAAAACAAGTACTTGCTGCGATCAGCACACGGTTGCTGAAGAGGCAAACAAGTTATCTGACCATTGTTTCTTCCAACACCACAACAACCTTTGTCTATAATATCAAATCCTGTTCATAAACCAAAACCATATTTATAAGTTGTTAAGGGTAAAAAGTTGCAATACAACAGTCATTTCAGTTTTACAGAATTTGGAGAATTTTTACACGTATGTATTCTTGATGTTCATGACATAGATCAAATTAGGTGACAATAATATATAGGTACACAGTTTTGACACGTACCATAGGACTTTCCTTTTTGGTATAGATCCAAGGTGCTCTGGTACGAATCCAGGAAAACAAACTTGGCTCCAGGCAATTGACCGCCATTGAAACGGTCGACCAGTTTCCTAAGCTCAGAGTTGAAAATAACAATTGCCTTATTGATATCTTCATTGCATCGGCTGTTATTGCCATTGTACCGAGCTAGCTGGTACGGTATGCAACCGATCTGTCCTACTGCAGTCACGATCACTTTTCGAGCTCCCAGTTGATACAATAGCTAAAAAACATCAGCAAACATATTAAGAAACATAATCAAAATCACAAAGATTACATTGAAAAGCACCAAAGTAATAACTCACAGTCAGCTGGCGCGTGTAGTCCTGAATGAGTGAGGAAGCGTAGGCTTTTGGGGTGAACTGTGAACTAGTTGAGTAGAAATCACGCATGAAATAGTTGTTAAGGTAATCGTTACTTCCCAATCCAGAATAGAAAATGCATCTGCTCAGATAACTGTTCAGTGAATTTGTGTCTCCTCTGAAAAACCTTCTCATTTGTTGCACTGTGTCTGCAAAATTGGATACTTGCTCATTCATTGACGCGTGGGCTCCCTGTGTACAAATTAATACCAAACTAAATCACAATCCTATATGGAGAAATTTTGGACATAACAGATAGTAGCTAGTAGCGCGCGTTTCTGAACATAAAATTATATCAAACTAATCAAGTAGAATATATATCTATAATGAAATCTGATATGTCTGACAATTTATATAACATACTGATAGGATTCCCTTAGCATTCTATTGGTTAGCTTGTTATTAGTTTGTTACCATAGTGGTTTAGTTAGTTGGATTTATGTGATGTGAAAATTAGTATAAAAGAGTGTTAGAATAGTACGTCAGTAGGAAATTAGTGAATTGAAGTGGGACTTAGTTTCTGGGGAGAGATCAAAGCCTCTCGAAATCTTTGAAACTATCTTGCATTTCATTATTTCTGTTTTATTTCTTCAATACAAAAATCAGTTTAATTTCTTCTATATCTTGGTTCTTATCACATACCAGATTGTTTCCGGTCTCATCTCGGATGCCAGATGCGCCAGATGCATAATTCACTCCTCTCAGCAATGCTCGGCCTCGGGTTCTGGAATAGGGTGGTATATAAGTAGGAAATCCAAGTAGTTGAGCTGCAAAATATCAATCATAGGTACCACACAACAACAATTCAATCCAAAACAAGTACAAAAATTAATTAATAAATACATAATCAAACAGGTTGATGCCATAATTTATTGTGGAAAGTCAATGTATCAACAAAAACAAATGCAATTAGTTTGTGTATTGTTTGTTAACATTACCTAGAACATCAACGAAAGTTCGACCATTGGTGAAGCGGCCAGTTGAACCCTGCGGGAAGTCAATGCCGTAAGGCCGGTAATTGGCCCTGGCAAGAGTAAGAATTCCGTTGTTGTTTCCATTGTCAACCAACGAGTCACCAAATATGAAGAAACATGGCACTTGGACCTGCTGTTCCTGTGGAAAAGCCCTGCCGCTCAACCAAAGCCAGACTATAACAACCAAGACCAACTCACTAAACCTCATATCTTTGGCTAATTAGAGACTACTATTACTATTATATCTTATGATCTTTGGTTAAAACTTGGAACAGTCTCCTTGGTGCACGCAATTTATAGTCGTTTTCCAGGTTTGATCTGCAATAATTGGAGTCATGTGGTATGGAAGTGAATGGGGAACTTTTAGTTGCCGATCATATTTGTGTTGCTCCAACGCGTTTTGCCGATCTTTTACACGGTGGAAGCTGTGGTGGGAAAATAACCTCTCGTGATCTATCGTATATGCATGAAAATATGGCTTGAAGATTGGAAATAACATTGTAAGAACTAAGAAGAGACAATTTATGGTCATTTTATCATTTATGGAACTTGTTTTTTTAGGAAGCCTTGAGATAGAATTGGAGAGAAGTGAGAGTGGAATGACCTTTTTTTACAGTGTGTATTAATTTGATGCATGAATTGCTCGATCATAAAGTCACCAACTTGATGAGCTAGTCCCGTGAGAGTTTTGCCGTTTATGTTTATGCATTATACATACCAACCAATGTGGACTAGTTTGCTATATAAAGGAATATAAAGGTGATCCTAAATGCCAACCTATCTTCAAATAATAGCCACTAATCGATACACACAAAGACACATTTCCTCAAGAAAGCGTTTTCTTTTTCATAGAAATTCACCAACCACATGATCATGATCTTATTATTGCCATTGTGTTACATCCGTGAATTAATAGTCAGAACTTTGATGGGTAAATTGAGAGAATTATATCTCCACCTTTTTATTTCTAAATTATGTCTCTACCTTTTTATTTCTATTGTTTCTTTTTAGGAAATGTTTAACGTTGTATCTATTGTTTCACTATTACATAGAGACATTGGTCATCTACCATATTCAAACTTCAATTCGTTGTTTAATTCTTTAGCATGCGTTAGTATTACATTTTGTTCCTTTCTTTTCTTTAAGTTTTCTTCTTTTTTTTTTTTTTTAAAAAAATGAAGAAATTTAGAAAGAAGGTTCTGAACTCCAGTCTTCAACTGAATATGTAAGATTATATTGTGTCGTCCCACATTCATTTTGAAGACATTTGTGTGGCGAGCTTGCGCTTGCCCTTGATGGCATATTCATATTCATGCTCGCCCTTTTTGTGCCTAATAGAAACAAACTAGAAAAATATAAGAAACGTTTGATTCATGGATTAGAATCATGAGATTAAAATTATTTTTAATTTAGGTATATTTTTTGTGAGAGAAAATACTATAGCGAATCATGAATCATAATTCAAATTATGGTATGAATCCCTTACCAAACGTCTGCTAAATTTTTTTAATACAATAAAAACAATATTTTTTAAAGATAAAATCAATTTAGTACTCTCTATTATATCATCAAAAAATATTTTAATATTATATATTTTTAATAATATTTATTTTTAGTACTATATCTCTTTAATAATATTAAATAGATACTTTTAAGTTTCAAAAAAACATCTTATAAATACTTTAATTCTTTTTTGAAACTTAAAATGTCCAAACTACCCTCCTTAATAATCAAATGGAAACTAAAGAGGAGCCCCAACCTATCCTCTATCGCCGCCTCCTTCACCATCTAGCGCCACGAGCTCGCCGCCGTTCCTCAGTACCGGTTACCGTTCCTCAGAGATCGTCTCCCCCTTCTCTACCTTAGCTACACCTAATGCCTCTTCGTAGATAAACTGATGCAAGTTATTACGATTTGCCCATTTTACTCCGTCCGAAAGTATATGGAAGCTGCTGTAATTTGAAAACCCATAGGAGAAAAGTTGGATCTTTCACTCTCACACGGTTTTTCTGTCAATTTTTTTTGACGAAAAAGGTCTTGGAACGATTTCCTTGTATGGGTTTTTTTTTTTTTTTTTTTTTTTTTTTTTTTTTTTTCACAGAAGAAAAGGGCATATGCATATGGATGGTAATGTTCACCATGTAATAGAAAGAAGAAAAGGGCATATGCATATGGATGGTAATAGAAAGTTTTTGGATGCAAAAAGACAAAAAGCTCTTTCACCATTTTCAATTCCTCTCGCCATCTCTTTTTAAGTTTTTTCTGCAGCTTTTGGGTTCAAAAGTTTCCACTTGTTGGGTAATACTGATTTTTGACAATTTTCTTTCTGTGTAATGTGGTATGGATACATAGTCATTCAATTCTTAAGATTTGCAACATCTGCAAGTAGGGGCTGAGGCTGTAACGGTTGCTACGATGTTGGACTTGGGAGCTGGGGCGGCTGTGTGCCAGGTGGGTCAGAAACCTGGGGCGGAGCTGGATGTGCGGGGTGGATCTTCTATGATTTCAATATTTTGGGCTGATTTGATTTTAATCTAATTTTGTTGTAGAAGAGGATGATTTGGTATCAATCTTCGATTGTGGTATAATAATAGTTCTGATTTTGTTTGTGTTTATTTTTCTTTTAAGGGTTTCTTTTGATTTTTTTTTTTTATAAACGTTTCAACATATTTTTAGAATTTTTAAAATTTATATTTTGTAATTAATTAAATAGAATTGTGGTTTGGATATTTTAAAGTCACCTTTTTAAAAGTTGATTTAAAATTATAATTTATAATTTTGTTAGAGTATTTTTTTTTTATAAAAAGTTTAAATTTTTAAAATTAAAATTATTAATCATGATTCTAAATTTATAAATTAATCATTAAATCATTATTTAAGTGTTAAAAAATTTCTTTAGGGTATTTATAAGATATTTTTTAAAATTTAAAAGTATTTATTTAATATTATTAAAAAATATAATAAGAGTATGTTTTAATATAAGAGAGGGGATCAAATTGATTTTATTTTGTATTTAAATCAAAACGCTATGACATGTGATGGACGTGTCACCTTGTTCGGCTTTACACCTTTAACCTCATTATTGAAGGTTAAATTGAATTTAAAGCTAAACTAACCATGCAATCACTCAAATCAAATTTGGTAAATACTGAAAGAACAAAAAAGCAAGTAAATATAAAGGGGGTAGTATGTTATCTTTATATATAACAGGACAAAAATAAAAAAGAGAAAGACACTAGGAGACAAAACTATAATAACTTTCGCATAATTAACTTTTTAAATGGGGGGCTGACGCAAAATTTACGCATAAGCGGGGTTGACTGCGAAAATTGAAGTTCTAAAGTTTTGACTCTTGAGCTATGTGTGATGGAAGTGAAGCTAAGGCAGAGACCAGATCTTCTTCTTCCTCTGTTCCAATCAAAATTCGAATTCCCGTCTTGCAGGTTTTCTTGCTAATCTCTCTTACAAGAGCTCATTTGAAGTTATTTTTTTCCTTCATTTTTCGTTTTAATTTTAGTTGTTTTTTACTCCGTGGGTCGTCAGTTTGTGTTTGAAATCTTGGGCAAAGAGTGAGAGACTTCTGAAGAAGCATATTAGGGGCAAATTACAGGTACAACCTCAAACTTAGTTTACTAACGGTCTTAAACCAGTTATTTGATTGAATTACACGGTGGGTTGTTTTTTTTTTTTTTTTGTTTTTTGTTTTTTGTTTTTTTTTGCTATGAAAATGGAAACATGGTGAAACTTGTGATTGAAAACTTGTTTTTTTCTTTTTCTCTTTTTCTAGCGAATGAAATAGGATGATATTGTAATTTCCACGTGCTTTATGTATTGCTTCTGTACTTTTTGTGGTGACAGAAATGGAGGATTCGCATTGGGGAGATATCAAAGGGTCAATACTCGGCTAAGCACTACTCGGTTCATGTTGTCAAAGAGTAAGAGAAAATTACATATGAATTTGAATCTGCTTCTTTGTTTGCTCGTTGTACGATAATTTTCTGTTGCTTTGTTTTCCTTTTTGTTAGAATGATAGATACTATACGGCTTTAGTCCGTGAAGATTTCAGATTTGGGTTTTAAATTTTGTGATTAACAGTGAAGGATTTGAGGCCCCATTTGGTTCCAATACGTGAACCTAAATTATTTTGTTACAGTGTTTTTCATCTCACAAAGAATTTAAATTCAAAAATATTTTCTCTCATAAAGTTATCGCCAATGAATCAGGATCACTAAACTTGAACGCGTGAGCCAAATAGACCCGAGTGATTTTGAGCTCAGAAAATATGATTTTTTTTCTCCTTTCTGGAATCTAGTTGAAAAAAGAAGTTGCCAATAAATTTGACTTCCAGGTTATAGTCTATAAATTGCCGCTCGAGCTAATGGCGGAGCCAGAATATGTTGATGTCAGTGAAGAAAAACCTGTCTTTTTTTTTTATTAGATAAGAATATAGTATAAATTTCAATTACTTAATGGGCACAAATAGTATCTTTCTCCTAATATGAAGGCATCTGAAATTTTTTCTAAAAATTTAGGTCTAAAGGAATTGTCTAATGTTGAATGGGGTGACGTGCTTGGGGTTTAGAAGTTAGAACACAAAAATTCCAAAGAAAAACGGTTAGTAACAAAAGGGACTTGGGGAATATAGCATCATGGACGAATATATTGTTTCATCAGATGTTTGCTGGAAAATTTGCTAGAGTATGTAAAACGTTTGAAGTGTATACAGGATAGAGTTTGGTTATTGAGACTAAATAGTCCACTCAACATTTTGGACAAGTTCATGAAGTAGAAAGCGTGACTGTTTGCTTAGGAATTTGGTGATCCATAGCTTTGTAAATTGGTTGTCCTATGCTTAACGCAAATCTTTGGGTGGCAGGGGAGAAACTTTGACTTCAATTTCTAAGCATTATGGAGTTTCTATCTACGCAATTGCTGCAGCTAATAAGAACATAGCTGATATTGACCTTGTTTTTGAAGGCCGGCATCTTAGCATTCCTTTAGCAGACAAACACATTCTAGAGGTATTTTACTTTAACCACACCAATTGTACAGGTATGCTTACTCAATGGTTGCACTTGCATCAATCAATATGAAGGTTTAGATGGTTATTAATGCCCTTCCTTTGGCACTTCTGACCTCTAATGCTGCAAATCTTTTGTATTTTGGGGATTTTTAAACTCAGAGAAGTTGGTCAGGAAAATTCAAATTACCTTCAAAGGATCGGGGTTCGTTAAATATCTTAAATGGAGTATTATCACCGAAGAATTTCAGCCTGATATATTTGTATTTGGTACCCGATGTTAGTGTTTTTTATACCGTATTTGCAGCCTACAAGTCTAATAATCATGTTTGGTTCTGTTTTACTTCTGTTTGGAATCCAAGCTCACCAAATCTTATGACCTGATCAGGCTTGTCCATGGTACTATCAGGCTAGAACTGTCGGTGGTTTTTTAGTTCTGGTTTCACTTGTAGCGTTTTGCATCAGATGCATAGTTGGTGCCTTTCATAACAGAGCTTCCGGGGAGTTTAGACACAAAAATGTGAACGAATCTGATGTAAAACATCTACGGTCGCAAGGTGGGCGATGGAGATCTGCTCTTGGTGATGCATGGGAACCAGAGAGAACAGACGGTGACTCAATTCCAGATTCCAGAGTAAGTAGCGAAGGTTCCAATTTTCCATGTTCATTTTTTGCCCTTTAGAGTGAGCATTTGCACTTTACGATTATAGATGTTTTCTATCTACAGGTGCATATCTCAGGCTTTCTGCATTTACGATTATTAGTCCTTGTCGTATGCTGGTTAATTTCAAATGTTGTGCAGAATCACTCCGAAGATCAGCCTCAAATTTCTTTTGAAGAGGCATCTCACGCTTACAGAAAGCTTGAGCATGATTATCAAGAATTCCTATCGCAATGTGGAATGAGCAAGTGGGGGTATTGGCGAGGTGGTTCCCCAAGGTGAACCACTTGGATCCTATTTTTCTGCACTGAAACAAAGCTCTCGGAGCCCCCAATTTCTGTAAAGTTTCTCTCTTTATGTTTTTTATATTTAGGTCATTTGTACACAATTAGGTTTCTTTAGATGCGTGTTTTAGAATTGCAGTTTGTATTGGCCTAAGATGGTGCAAAGGATTGAAACAATGATAACTTAGGGCCCGTTTGGTTCGTGCGTTTAAACCAGTAATTCTTGATTTTAGCATTTGAAATTTAAATTTTGTGAGAGAAATATATTGTAGCAGAATCAAAACCATAGGTTGAAACGCATGAAACAAACGAGTCATTAATATTTGTATATGATAGCTAGCGGTTTCATTACTACGTTGCTTATGGTTCAAGACAAACCATTTCGTGTATGTTTAGTATATAGATTTTGCTACAATGTAAATCCATAGTTTTAATTTTACTACAGTATTTTTCTCTCATAAAAAATTTAAATTTTAAGTCATAATTAAGAATCTTAATTTGCACCGACATACCAAACAGGCCCTTTTCATGTTTTGGTTGCATTTACGTGGTTAGTTATGACCACGGAGGAAAGATAAGCATATTATTTAACCCGTGTTAGGACCTCGGTTGGCTAAATGGAAGGCGAGATTTGTCATATTTTCTAGCCTACTCTTCCGTTTATGTTCTTTTGTCCCCCACTAAAAGAGTGGAATTACGGTTTTTATTTTATTATCTATTTATGTTGTCTCGAGTGGATTAGCAATCTCATACGTGCAATTTTTATACCAAAACATGCAAGTTATCAAATAAGCAATTGGGTCACGGTTAACTAATTAATGCAAGTACATGTATTCTTGGTTTCGGGATGAGGTTAGCATGCAACAACCACCCCACACCCCCCCGGTTTCAAAGCTCTTCAGCTGAACCTAGGAAACGATTGAAGGCTAACTCATGCGCTTTTTCCTTTCTAACACAAAAATGAGTTAAACTAATGTTTTAAATTTTGAGTCAGATCACCATTCGCGCAATTAACAAAGATTATGCTAGTGAAGCACTTTCATTATCTTAAACCATCACAGCTTTAAACAGCATTTGCTACATCCCTTTCTTTGCCCCCCTATCAACGAACTCGACGAGCTTTCTCTTCCTGTCCTATACCAAGTGATTTTTGTGCATTCGCAATACCTTCTGGATCTGCAATATGAGAGGTGATGTTAACAAGATCAGATCACAGATGCACCGCAGATAAGCACTCGGTAAAAAAAAATAATAATAAAATAAAATAAAAATTACAGAAAGAATAGTAATGTCAATAATTAACTAGCCGTCTGCAATCTACAATGATGTTAACTTGAAGGACAGAACATCAAAGGTATGATCATATGGCCAACTAATTGGGTATAAACCAAGCTGAAAGATGAAAGATATCATCATCATGAGCATGTTGTCCACGAAAACAAGAATGCACCCCCAAAAGGGCAACCACGGAAAATTCATAGGATATCACAACATACCTTATCAGTAACCGTCATCACATCAAAATCATATTAGATTAGGAAAAATATGAAAATTTAACAAAATCTGATGAAGATACGCTGGTTAAAAACTGTGCTCTACTACCGACTTTGGTTAGTAAATCTTCAATCCTATAGACTACACAAGAGGCAAAACCAAGTGATGGGAACTCCGTTTTCTTCTTTGACAATTAAAAGAACCTTGCTTCTGATAGCAGTCAAAAGTTTTGTATGATTCCGCCAATTATATCTTTTATTCTGTTTAGGAGCTACACATCAAAGCATTAGGAAGCTGACTTACCGAAGAATTGCGTGAAAATGCGGGTGAAGAAGTTCAAGTTGCGGGAAACATTGTAAGCCATGGCAGGTGGAAGAGGCTTCACAACGGTGTCAATGCTAAAAACCCGTTGAAGGAACTGCAAATACAATATGTAGAACAAAATGATTTAAGTCCTATTTCAGCATTCATACTGGAGCCAAAATAACCAGTGTTCAAGAACTAAAGGCAGGACATTCTCACTTTTCTACATAATTAACTTTAAAACATTTGCACATGTGAAAATTCTGATAAAACATTGTTATTGTACAATCCAAAATAATCACAAGATACAGCTAAAGTTTGATAATAACTTTGAAAATGGATGCTTACCAGTATATATGAATAGGAATAGAAAAAGACTTGGAAGATCCCAACCAAAGAAAATGAAGATAAAGGATTGGAAAGAATTTTCTTGGAAACAAACCTAAAATCTTCAATTTAGCATTAATCAAAGACACAGCTACAGCGACACTAACAATTCCGAACTAGCCCAAAATGGTTCCCCAAAAAAAAAAAAAAAAAAAAAAGCAAAAATTTCTTCCGACGTAGCTCAAAACTCTGAATTCATTTCAAACTCAGATTACCAAACACAGTGATTTTTTACAGTAACTTAAGAAACCAAACAAACCCAAATTCTAACAGCAAAACCAATCCCAAACTAAATTTACTAAACAGTAAACCATATTCTAGAGAGAGAGAAAGAGGGACCTGAAAGTTTCTCTGGAAACTGTAGCGAAGCTCGGGGTCGATTTCGGTGAGGGAATCGTCGGGGTTTTGGTCTTTGGAGCGGACGGACTTCTTGCGAGGGACGTGCATGGTCGGCGTGGCCCCTGGCTGACTCGTGACCTTGAGTTTGGCATCCTTAAAATCTTCGTCGGAATCGTCGTCCACCCTCCAAGGCGCTGAAGCCATCAACTGCTTCTTCTTTGACTTTGACATTCCTCTCTTCTCTCTCCTCTGCTTGCAACAGTTTCTCAATTCCTCTCTCTGTGCTAAGTTGCTCCGCAGACAGACCGCTTATAGAATGTTACATTTAGATAGGGTAGTGTTTGGCTGTGTCGAATAGCCTACTCTGGTCCTGGAAAAGAATAGAGTTATTTATCTTATTGCATCCTATATTCTAGGTTTATTCAGAAAATGCACCTTTCATTTTAGGTCTATTTTATTTTACCGATTTGAGTTTTCAATTTTAATTTTATTACAGTTAAAAATTTTCACAAAAAGTTACATTTAACTTTTTTTGTTATAGTTAAAAATTCTTACATAACATCACATCTCAATTTAAATTAAAAACTCACATCGACGAACTAAACAAGCACTTATATCTCTTTCATCAGATTGTATTTAATAACATCAAATGATACTTTTTCTTAGAGACGCAAGAGGCACCCGGCCCGTTCTCCATAGGCCCACGTGGACGGGGCCGGCCCAACTCACAAATTTTATGGGCCGGGCCGGCCCGTATAAGAATGATCTCGGCCCAGCCCACACCACGAGCCAATTCTACGTGGGCCGTGATGTGGGCAAGGATGGCCCATGCCATGGGCCTTGAATGGGCCGGCCCACTCTTGGCCTATCATGGGTTTATATGGGCCAGCCCATCTAAGCATGCAATTTTCAATTTTTTTATTTTTTATTTTTTATTTTTGAATTTTTTAATAAGTTAACAAATATATAAATTTGAATAGTTAATGGAAATATGAAAAATGATATTTTATTTGCGATTACCTCATTAAAATAAAAATCTTTCTGAGGAAAATCCAATTGGACATAACTTTGGTAACGAAAAAAGAGTACAATAAAGATAATTATATATAAGATGTTTACAAAATTACTAGAAAAAAGAAAAAAACATAAAAATATTATGGGTCTAGATGGGCTGGGCTAGGCCAGGCCATTACGGGCCTAGACGGGCCGGGCTAGGCCGGCCCATTATGGGTCTAGACGGGCCGGTCCAGCCCGATCCAAACCTGCTCTGGCCGATATATGTTGGCTCTGGCCGACCAATCAATATTTATAAGTTGGGTTGTGTCTTGAACAGTGACGGGCCGTGCCAGCCCAGCCCGTCACTGTGTCAGCCCAGGCCCATTGTTGCATCTCTATCTTTTCTTAGGCCTCGTTCACTTCGCAGATTCAAATTTTCAATTCGAGCTGAGATGTGACATTTTCTGAGAGCTTTTCACTGTAGCAGAAAAAGTTAAATGTGACATTTTTTGAGAGCTTTTTACTGTAGAAACCTAAAACTGAAAACTTGAATTGGTGAAATGAACGAAACCTTAGTCATTTCATGATTTTTAACATCAAAATACCTATAATACCCTTAAAAAGAAGAAAAAAATAATAAAAATCTTAATAATATTTAAAAAATAAAAGTAAATAACCAAAAAGTTTTTCCTCCACTCACGGTAGAATTAGAGAAAATACGTCTCAAACGAATCACCAAAAGGGGACAAGACAATGACAAGACAATGAGAAATTATTCCGTGAATAAGATATATCACATCATTTTATTTATTTGGTACATCTGACTAATTAAAAATTAATATTTAGATGACTTTTACGTATCAATTCCTTGTAATCATATTTCTCTCCTATTGTAATCTATATTAATTACTTAACAGTTATGATTGTCATAAATATACTTAAATTATTATATTAATTAGTTAATTAATTTTAACGTTTAAACAAAATTTGTTAAAAGAGATTTATTTTCTACACGGAATTTTCTTTTGAAAATAAACATAATCAATTCAAGAAAGTTAATACGTTTAATCACCAGTGTATTGTTATTCATTAGTTTTTTTTTTCCAATAATATTTCTAAATTATTATATTAAGAGTGATGTTGTTGTTTGGCCTCTCTCTCTCTCTCTCTCTCTTTTCCTCACTAGGCTTCTTGTCGGGCTTTCTTTTTGACCCCTCGTATTGTTTTTCATTGTTTTGATGAATTTCCCCTTCAGCCAAAAAAAATAAAAATAAAATCCATGAATAGATTGATCATAAATATTTATATATATTTTAAAGAATTACGTATAAAAGTAAAACTTATTAATATATGTACAATACAGTAAGAGAGAAAAATGATTCTAAAGAGTTTCTATACACAAAGCATCTAAATATAAATTTTTAATTAACCAGGTATACCACATAAGCACGAGGTTCACTGAATAATTCCTCCACAACGTCTATAAAAACGCAAATCCAAGGAACGACATATCTCGTAAAACAAAATAAGAATAAGCATCAATATAAACGAAAAAAGATGATAGATTGACAAACAACAGCAATTAATGAACGACAAGGTCTCTATGAATGGATTTGTCGTTTTTCCTAATACCAAATGAGCGTAAACTGTAAGCCAAAATATTGTCTAAACGGAAACCACAAATTAAACTACAAATATCTCCTACAAAATTTATAATTAACGAGGGGCCTCTCACAAATACGACAATATCATAAAAACGACGACAACTTTTTTGCTACTTAACGTGGATTTTTATTCAAAAGCCCAAAAAAAAAAAAAAAAAAAAAAAACTAATCCATAGTAGCTACAGAAGCTACCTCCTCAAGAGAAAAGGAACCTGAAGCCAAAATGGCTAACACATGGTAAACGACGACAACTTACTATAGGTCAGTAGCAGACTAGCAGTTAAGACTAGCAGTATCAGAAGCCGACAGTAACTTTAAAATGAAAACAAATTACTGAACAACTTCTCTCACAAAAATGAAAACAACAACATTCACTATAAACACCAGTATTAACAATGTTTCTCACGAACAAAAACAAAACAACCAATAACACCACTCACTGTCTAGCAAACAATAATAAGAACACACTACAGAATTTTTGAATATATATATATATCGAAACGACAATCTTTCTCTTGAGCAAAAAAAAAAGGGGGGGGGGGGGAAGAACGACAGCAACTCTCCAAAAAGATAATAACTGGAATTGATGATGGTATAACATCCACAATTATGAAGCTAACAGTCTGTTGCGTTTGTTTAGACATTTTTTTCTTTTAAAAGTGATTTTTTTTTAAATGTATATTTTTTGGTGATATGCATGATGGGATTCATAATCTTTTATTTTTATTATTATTTAAAAATAATCTTTTTTTGTTTCAATTTTTAGGTAAAAAATTAGGTCGTTATCAAGTCAAAATTGGTGAAGGGCCAGGTCAAGTGGGGTCACGAGTTGGATCGATGGGCCAGGTTTGGAGTAGGGATAAGGCCGATCAGCCATGTTTCGCATTGGGGTTGGATTGATGGGTCGGGATTATCATTACAGTCAGACTAATAGCGCGGGCTTGGTGCCGGGGTTGTGTAAACGGGCAAGGTAGTAGTGTTGAAGCGTCATTAAGGTCAAACCGATAAGCCAGTGACATTAGGATTAAAGGGATGCTTGTTTGTTTTATGTATCCATTATTAATTTTAAATCATGATTTATAATTTTTTACAGTATTTTTCTTTTATAAAAATTTTAAATTTTAAAAATTAAAATATGAATTATGATTTTAAATTTATAAACTAAACATGCCTTAATAGATTGATGGACAGGAATTAAGGTCAGACCGACTATGCATGACCATCGTCGGGGTCAAACTGACAAGACGGGGCCATCACCCCCTGGGTTAGACTAAAGAGGCAGGTTCATTGATTTTTCTGAACTAAACTTTGCTTATATGTTTTCTGAATTTCTTTCAAGTGCTTTTTTACTTGAGCGTAGTTTTTCTTATAAGAACCCCTTATTTTCCCAATCTTAGAGTTCCAGAGGGTAATCAAGCAAATAGTTGCCACGATCTGTCGCAGATTTTCAACCCTTATATATATATATATATATATAAATCATTTGATCGAGTTAGGTGCTTTTGGGACATGTCAAAGCTACACAGCTTGTGTTTGTTAAGACGTGTTAATCATGACCCGAACTTTTGTAGTTAGTTGGAGAAACATTATCATATGTGTAAGAATTTTCTTATCTCAATACAAGACTTCGTGATTACTTTTCCTATAATAACGGAGCAAACATCTAAATAGAGATATATATATATATATATATCCAATTGCTCTTAGCCACGCACAATGCAAGAGCACAACTTTAAAATCAAGAAGAAAAAAGAAAAATACTAAAAACATCTTATTCAGAAAGTCTTTAAAAAATAATATTATTAGTACCATAATATGCAAAGAAAATCTCCTCTCCAAATTCCCTAACAAACATAAGAGTAAAAAGACAGTGGAGATGAATAATATTACCAAACATCGGTATAGACAAACACCACACAGTCTATTTTTTATGAGATGTGGTGTTTAGTATTGGTGTACCGAACATTCTATGAAAGGCAAAATGCAAAATAATCTAAGGGCAAAACAGTCTTCCGGCACGTGCCCTGTGGCTGGGCAGAATGAAGTGCCTCAACCTGCCTTCTTGTTGGGCCAGGTAGCCTTCGCACAGAAACGTCTTCGAGAACTTGTCCTCGACCACCCTGTCCACGTCATGCACGAACACGTCAGTCTCGCCGCTCTCCCTGTTCCTCGCCATGATCCCCGCCGTGTATATAGCGCTCATCCTCCCCGGCGCCCCGTCGAAATACCCTGTGGGCGCGTCCACCATAATCAAATCCCACTCCGTGTCGTACACCTCGCTCGGGAAGTTCTTCAGCGCCAGCTGGCAGTCGGAGAATCTCGGATCCCCTACGGCCTTGCACTCCTCGGAATCTCCGAGCTTGAGGAGCTCTTCCGCCTGGTGGACCTTCGTGTCGTACGTCACGTGGTACGACTCCAGACCGGGAAAACGACGCTTGATTTGCTCGATCCAGGCCTTGTCCTCCTCGAGGAAGACCGTGCGGCCACCGTGGTTGAGGGCGGTCCACATGAGGCTGTCGTGGCCCAGCCCAAATACGAGGAAGTTGCAGGGAGATTTTTTCTCAAGGACGCTCATGGAGACCGAGATTTCTTTCTGCGTCTGTTGTGGGGTGATGTTTGTCGCTGCGTAGTGGACAAGGGCGTTGGCCAAAGACGGCGGCGTTTTGGTGCAGGTGGTTACTGGGATTGAGGGTTCAAGTGTTGGGCATTCTGTAGTTGTAGTTGTCGTTTTTGGTTTTGGGTCTTGGTGATCATTTGTTGAGTTTGAGAGGTGGGTTTGTGAGAATATGGATGCTGGGGTGATTTGCTGGGTGAAGGAGAAACTTGATCTGATTATGAGAAAGAGGAAGAAGAGGAAGAATAAGGAGAGAGTTAGCTTTAGACTGATGGAGAATTGAGCTACTTTGGACCTCATTGTTTGTCTAGCTAGATTTTGGTTAGAGAGAGAGAGAGAGAGAGAGAGAGAGAGAGAGAGAGAGAGAGAGAGAGGAGGGAGGAGAGGATGAAATACTAATATTGATGGGTTTTTTTCAGTTGTGGGTGTGTTATGATGTTGTTTTGGTTGCTTTATTTTAATTCAATTTCACCGAGTTTCTAATTTTAATTTTATTATAATTAAAAATTCTCATAAAAAAATTACTATAATAAAAAAATTTTACATAAAATTATATCTCAATTTAAATTAAAAATTTAAATTAATAAACTTTTAAGAATATTAAAAGAACTTCTCGAAAGAAGTTTGAGAAAATTATAAGGAATATTTGAAAGGGTACATATTTTGATGTCTGCGTCTCTCTTTTTTTTTTTTTGTCTTTTTTTTCCTTTTTTCTGCTATAGACAAATTAAGATAATTGTTGGAGAAATCATATGAGGTGATATATGCAGACATCTAGAGGAGGTAATGATTAATACTTCACATGCAAAGCTTATGCTTTACCCCCCAGGGAAAAAAGGGTAAAAAAAAAAAGTGATTTGCACAGTGATAACGTCGATTATTCAATCTTTTTTGAGAGGAGTTAAATTGTGGTATAATTATATTATTTTGGAAGCTTTGCTTGACGTAAATAGTAATGCAGAGTTATCTGAGAGTGGGGGAGAGGGAGAGAAATGAAATGTGTATCAATTATTGTTGTTGGCACTTTTCATTTTCATTAATAATTCTATATTCTCTCTTAGAAACGAAGCAAAGGAAAGTGTGGAAGCCTTGAAGAATACGAGACATTAACTACTGCAACGTTTGGTAAAAAATAACAAGGTTCGGTAGACCTAGAAATCTGTCGTTGAATTGATAAATAAATTTATTAGTATTAATGTTTCATTTTCTTATATGAAATATGTGAGTATATAGTTGTTGGGGGTTCTGGATTCTTGTTACGTGTCATGTATGATTATTATTATTAAAATTATTATTTTGTTTTTCTAAGGGATACATGTACGATATTTGCCTGAGCCTTAAAAGGAGCATGGCTGTGCTGGCTTTTATATAAGTTTAGGAGTTGAAACTCGGACAGGATGTGGAGTGGTTCTAACGACGATGTTCTTTTGTTTATTTTATTGGACTGGTTGGAGGATTCGTTATCTGACTCGAATCATAATTCATGGTTCGTTATAGTATTTTTTCTCATAAAAAATACACGTAAATCGAAAATAATTTTAATCTCATAGTTTTAATCCATGAACCAAACGGGTTAATCTATGATTTCACAACTCAAATTAAAGAATGTTTACATAAAAAAAAAAACACTATAACAAATAACTTTAATATAATCCTTTAATATGGATGTTTAGTCAACTCAGATATATATTTTTACCCCTAACTCTTGATTAATATCATTTTTAACTAAAATAATCACATTAATTAAAAGTATATTAATTAAGAATCAATGATAAAAATTCAGATTCATACACTATAAAAATAGAGATAGGTTCAACATTTTTCTTATTAAGCAAACTCAGAAGATAACAAGTCATTTTGTGAACTCTACTCATGAAATACAAACTTTATTATTTTAAAAAAGAAGTACAAACTTTATTTTTTAATAATGAATTTGGCCCTTTAATTATGCCATTTCTCATGTAGTAACTTTATGCTTTCTATTCGTGTATGTGCCCCCATACGTATACATACACAACAAAATTTTTTTTTTTTTTTTTTTTTTTTTTTTTTTTTTTTTTTTTCACACTGACGCTTTCTTTAATGTATAGTACCTAGTAAAAGCAGAAGAAATATTTGGAAACTGATAATGCTCGTTAGAGCCTTTCCATGAGCGTTCACTAAAGAATGAAGAAGGGTGATTGGGTGAATATGGGAGTATTTTTCGGGTTCAAAAAACTCCATCCAAATTATGAAATTTGAGAGTTTTTTTAATCCTTAATATTTTATTTATATAAAAGCTCCACTGTTCAAATTGTGAACTGGCCGCGAATCTTTCCAGAAAAACGGCTTACCATTATATTGTGTGACACCATTCTTCCATTTACACAATCAAGTTGTTAAAAACATAACGACTAGTTTTATGACTTCAACACATGCATCACCACAAAACGCCGTGTGGTGTTTATGTTAAAGCACAACAGACTTATTATTATTATTATTATTATTATTGACCAACCATGTCGTTTTTCTAAATTTAGAGGCAACCTTATGTGCGTTCAATAAAATTGACATGGAAAACGACATGTTCTTTGCATTTTAAGTAGGAAAATAATAACAAAAAAACGAAGTTTCGTATATTGAAATATAACACCGTCTTTTTACTGATAAACGGCATCAACCTTCACAGTCCAAATGATATCTAAATTACATACACAAAAAAGAGTACAATAACATAAAAGTAAAAACGAGACATCACATATTGATATAAATAGCACGTCATGATCCTTCTAAACGACAACAAAATTTCATATGCATGCCGTTTTATATTCAGTTTCAACAACTTTAAAATAAAAATGACACCTCTATGTTTATAATTATATAGGTACCATGTCGTTTTTCTTATAACTGACAACAAACCTTCTTACTTGTATAAGAGGTTGTTTTAAAATTAAAACGACAACAACTATAAGCCGTTCAACTTCACGACACATCGTGGATTTGTATGATAGCATGTCGTCTTTTCATAAACCACCTTTCTTTTGGTATAAACAACATGTCATTTTGTTCACCCGTCAACCAAAACATCTAGTGTTCAATCATGAGAACACTGTTTTTCTCTTAAAACGACCCGAAAATTACTAATTTAGGTGAGATGTCGTTCGTAATTTTAATACGACATTAACTCTATCTAACAAAAGTCTCTATCATAAGCGAGAACAAACTAACAAAAGTCTCTCATCGACCCAAAGCTTTAAATAGAAACGACACTTCATATTTTCTAATTAATTTGGTGGCTCGTCGTTTATCATATACTACATATACTACGACTTGAAATTGAAGCTTAAACGACATAACGAATATTTATATAAATAGTGCGATATGTTTCTTCTAAACGACATCAAAATTTCTAATTCAGACGAGATGCCGTTTATGACTCACCTACGATGACAACTATAAACTGAAAACGGCACAACGTATATCTGTATGACAAATATGTTATCCAAAAAAGAAAAAGAAAACCGTCCAAAAATGGCTACTTTGCACTCCCTCAACTTTATGAATTTGATAAATTAATTATTTAATTTTTTTATTGACAATTTATTTTTTAAATTTTAAAATTTATTACAACATTAGTCAAATTAAAAACAAAATTTAAAAAATTTAGACGATATATTTTATGTGAGTATTTAATGAGAATAATAAATATCTTTTTGTATTAAATTGATCTTCACGTAGCATCACGAGTGAAATTTTTTTTAGAATTAAGAGTTGGCCATTTTAAGAGAAAAATTAGGAATCCCCTAATTTCAAAAAAAAAAATTCACATAAAGTATATAAATTAATTCAATATAAAAAAATCATAATTATCTTTATTAAATATTTAGGTGAAAAGATAAGATCAATCATTGAAATTTCTGAATTCTTTTTGTTCCCTTGTGTTAGTTAGAGTGAAGTAAAGCACGCATATAAGACAAAAACGAATAAGATAACCTGGCGAGTAAACACCCCACTATTTCAGTAATGAAAAACAGCATTCATCACTTATTTATCTAATCAGAATTAGATACTGTCTGAATTTTTAATTTCGTTTCAATTTAACCAATAATATAATAAATTTTAAAATTTAAAGGTGAATTGCGAAGAAAAAAAAAAAGTCAAAAGGGAGTATACATGCAAAAGAGCCTCCAAAAAATAAGAAACAAGAAAATGGAAAAGCAACTCGCCCATTTGCAATCAATTTAATCCCGGCAACCCGTTCGTTCTGTTTCCCGCGAGTTCAGGGTTTTCTCTTCTTCTGGTGGCGGAACGCTTCGGCTATCAATTAATCCGGGCACTTTAGATTTCTATTTTCTCTTCACCCTCCGACAAGACGCTTTAGATTTATTAGTTTCTGAATCAAACAAGGCGACAGAAATCAAATAAAAGCATGAAGTTTGCGGTGAAGGCATGGAGCAACGGAAAAGCAAGGGCAGGGGTGCTTCAGCTGGGCAACTGTCCCGGCCCAATAGAGACACCGGCTCTTCTCCTCTCCACGCGTAAAGGGCTTCCCCATTTTATACCCCCAGACCTTCTCCCTTCTCTTCCTTCTCCTGATTCCCATCTCCTCCAAGTCAGTCCTCTTCATTTGTAAGTCCTTTTCTAACTCTCACACCCCTTTTCTTGGTTCGTCGAATTATTATAGCTTTTTGCTTCTATATTGGTAATAATGAGGTGCATGTGAGGTGTTTGTGAATTTGTCTGTGAGAGGGAGATATGTATTATGCCTGCTTGGTTGTAGGAAGTAACCAACTATCAAGCATCAACATTTCAGTTTTATTATAGGTAAAAACTCAAAAGGGTATATTGCACCTTTGCCCTCTGAACATATCGAACTTGTCGTTATTTGCAAGTTGGACCCCCACACTTTTAGTTTTGGTATTTAGGATTCGAAATTTGACAGTCCTTAGCAATGCAGTTCAATTGATAACACATCAACTAATGAGCAACAACTGGGATTGGAAATGCTAAAATTTAAAAATTGCAGTAATCGATGTTCATTAGCTATGGGACGAAAATTGCAGTAGATGGTGAGTTCGGGTCCTATTTGCCAAAATTGAAAATTCGGAGTCACAAGCTGCAAACACCAATAAATTCTGGGTGCACTGGTGCAATTAACCTGGTTAAAATGTTTTAGTTTTCAAGTGTTTGTAGTTGATGTTTCGTTGTTTGCTTATGCAGCTTGGAAGGCCTTTCACCAAAAACGATATCAAAGATAGGAGGATTAAACAAGATGCTTGGTTTGCCCGACTATGGATTTGCTGCCGTAGCCAGGGATTCTATGCAAAGTATTCCAGAATATAGTAGCACCAATAGAATTGGAGCATCTTTTGAGACTCGTGTTGGTCGACTTTTGGTATTTTCTGCTCGTTACTTCCTTGCCTGTATCTACTTTTACTTGACATTTATGTGATTTTTTCTTCTTTGATTACATTTTATGGGGATGATTATGTTAAAGGTATAAAATCTTGATATTCTTGCAGATTAAACCAGTAGATTATGTTGAAATGATTAGTTGCATGAGGCCTAACATATGGGCCACTTTGGCAGATGAAGTACCTGCGTGGGTATCAGAGAAGAGGAACAAAACCTCTGTGGATAGAACTGTGAGATGGCTTGATGAATGCATCGCGTTAAGCTCGGTAAACGACCGTAAATGCTTCCCTTTCCGGTTGAGGGCTGTTAAGATTAGCACACACGCACACGCATTTTTGTTAGATATGTTTGATGCAGCCACGTGGAAACTTTTTAATCCTTCAGATGTAGGCAGGTGGGACTGTTTTTGGATCCATTGTCGGAGGCTCCAATGTGGAAGAACGTGAAAGATGTGCGCAAGAGGTAGCCGAGAGAAATGTATCAGGTGTGGACTTGTCTATTTCTTGGAATCAATTGTATGAACTATGTATGACCGTTGGATTGACCTGAAAATATTCTCGGGCAGGTTACTGGATTGGAGGTTTTGGACTAGGAGAGAGCATGGAAGAGCGCCCTGCTCTTCTTAATGCTGTTACTGTAAGAAATTCATTTCTTAGGATCAATTCCGAAGAAGATTTAGTTGACGCGTAGAAGTTCTTGTTTAGAAAAAGACTTAATCTTATTTACTCTTTGAAAAGAGTCAAAAGACAAATCTTTCTTAATGCCTAAATATGTTTATTGGTCAGGATGTCCTACATGAGGAGAAACCACGCCTTGTATGTGGGCTTGGTCTTCCAGGTATCATGTCTACCACTGTGATTATGAATTTCTGCTTTTTCCAATCTCTGGCGACACAGTTTTGGCTTTATTAATAATTCACAAGCATAGTCATCATACTTTTAGAAGAACCGTTTGTGTACCATATGTCAACATCGATTCAGTGGGTATCTATGGTTTTTCGTTTGCAGTTTTAAACTGATCATTTCTTCCATGAACAAATGTTTAATTCTTTGATGATTGTTTTTTTTTTTAAATTATTTTTCTCAAATATTTCATAACACTTAACCAATTCATTGGCAAATAAAATTTGTTTTTAATCTCACAGAGGAGGCCTTGCAGGGAGTTTCTGCAGGAATCGATCTTTTTGATTCCGAGTACGTAGCTCAAGACGCTTCATATCCTTTTCTAACATGTTTCTCTGTCCTGCTAACTTCACCAGAGTTGTGATTATTTAAACGGCTGTTTTGGCAGTTATATATACCATGTCACCCTTGGAGGCTTTGCACTTACATTTCCGCCAAGTGGAGTTGATATTAGTGCATCTGAATTTTGCCCCAGTTATGATGGAAGTGAACGGACAAAGATTAATTTGAGAGCAACAATTTTTAGGTACTCGTGACTTCTCTTGTAGCACTGAAAGTTTACAGTTTACATGTCTCTTCTGTTTCCAGCTTCCGAGGTTCACATTTTGGTTAGTAAGCGATACTTATCTCGTTAAAATATATCTTCTTCAGGAAAGATACATCACCGATTGTTGAAAACTGTAGCTGCTATACATGCCAGAATCATACAAAAGCTTACATCAATCACCTGCTTAATGTCCACGAAATGCTCGCTCAGATTCTGCTAGAAATGTACTCTCTTTTATATTTTACTCAATACTTTTTCTTTGAATTTTTCATTAAGATAAGAACAGCATGATACAAAATGTCATATCGTTGCATTATTGTCGATTTTTTTTTTCTTTTGCTAAGATGTATTATTGTTTATGTTGCAGACATAATACTCACCATTACCTAAAGTTCTTCAAGTCAATAAGAGAAGCAATCAGGGCTGGTGAGTTCGATCAGTTTCGCCGGAGATTCATTGAGAGTAGGCGTGCGTGTGATCATCTTGCTCTAACCGATGATCGTGCTATGGCCGCAGTTGCTGTCTGCATCTGAGCTTAAAACTGATTTCAACAAAAGTCGCAATTTTGATAACATTTTTGGAGAGGAGAGTTGTAGTTGCAGCGTGTAGTGTTATATGAACAATGTGCGTTTTAACTTTTACGCAAACATACTCTTGTCCTGAGATGTAAGGATTTACATCTGTTCAACTTAGACATTTTTTCGTCTTTGCTTTTGTGCATTGTAGAACTTGCAATGCCGGCATTGCCTGATACCAATGAAACCTACTTCATACAGAATTATTAGACACCCCTCCAACTTTACGAATTTGACAAATTAGTCTCTTAAAATTTTTTTTTTTTTTTTTTTTTTTTTCTCAATTTCCCCCTTAAATTTTAAACTACCTTCGGCTTTTATGAAACCTACTTCATACAGAATTATTAGACACCCCTCCAACTTTACGAATTTGACAAATTAGTCTCTTAAAATTTTTTTTTTTTTTTTTTTTTTTTGACAATTCACCCCTTAAATTTTGAAATTCATTGCGCTGTTGGTCAAATTGAATACAAAATTAAAAATTTAGACGGTATCTTTCATGTGAGTGTTTAATAAAGATAACTCTAGTCTTTTTGCACTGAATTGAACCTTTTATACACGCGTTATGAATGGAAAAACTTTTTGAAATTAAGAGACCCTCAATTTTTTTTTCCAAAACGGTTAGCTTCTAATTTCAAAAAAATTTCGCCGGTAATATGTATATGAGGATCAATTCGATGTAAGAAGATATTAATTACTTTTATTAAACACTGTAGAAGACACTGTCTAAATTTTTAACTTAGTTTTCAATTTGACCAATATTGCAATAAATTTATAAATTTAAAGGGTGAATTGCCAAGAAAAAAATTAAGAGACCAATTTGTCAAACTCATAAAGTTGAGGAAGTGTCCGTGCAAAATAGCCTTATTGGAATCATTCCAACTTGTTTTATAGGATACCATCAGTTCATTTGTATCCCAAACTTTTTTCTTTTTTCTTTTTCCTTGGAAGATGTCTAATCTATTTATCCTACTTAGAAGGGGTCATATTATACATCACTTATCCGTCAGCTACCAATTTTTCACGTGGTAAAAAAGTACTGATTTAGCTCCAGTTTATTTAACTAAAAGATTTACTTAGATCCATTAAAACTAAAATGCCTGCTTCAGCAAAAGAAGAGAAAAGGTGAAGAAATGTTAAAATAGGATGGATGCTTACATTTGTACAAGGCTTTATATTTCACACTGCATTAAGTGGAGATTGCAGCCTGAGCCTAAAATGGTCAAAACCACCATTTGTGTTTGTTTCCAAGTGATTACACCGTCGGCTGAGCGGAGTATGTCTTAAACAAGTAGGAGAGGATCTTCTTATAGTCACGGACTTGAGTACCAGTGTTGGGGTCAATCAATAAGGGCACCTATAAGTAGCAACAAGGTTCTCCGCAGTCATGCTTAGGCTTAGGAAGCTTAACAAATCGCGATCATGCATGCAAGTAGTAAGTTAAGGAACAACATAATTGTTGTCAAAAGCTAGCTAACCTCTTCTGATCCGGCTGCATCAACTAGAAACTTCGATCGAAACGACCCTTCACCAACGGTTTGAAGGATGTAAGGAAGCTCTAATTCACAAAGCGCTTCACGCACAATTCTTGCATACTGAAGAGAAGAGCCGATCAAAAGAGGGAAGAAAAGTTATATCTTAATGGAACAGAAAGTAAAATTTACATCAGGTGCAGTTGGTGCGCAAAAACATCTGTCCAATTATGCTAGATTTGGTTACAACTATGTTTGTGTATAGCACCTAGAAATATTTTGACGAAAGAGCAAAATTGGAGTCATTGTAGATTAGTGGCAAAAACGTAGTTGGAATGACATGCTTCAGATTAAAGCAGGCCATATTCAAAAGCCTAGATGCTTTCTCATCCACATGAGGAGATAGATTGGTTTCCAATCACTAATGATCGCATACAAATACATATAACAAATACACATACAAATACAAATATAATGAAGGACAAATAAAACACATCTTTGTTTACCAAAAAAATATAGTTCACATAAGTGATAACAAATGAAGTCTCTACCGGATTGTTTTCATATGAGAAAAGTTCCAACTTTTTGGGTGGTGGGTCTAGTCTGCCCTTTGCCCATAATGTCATTCCTCTACCTGCTCGCAAAATTGTTGGCACCCATCCTGTCAACAATGTGCTGCGTGGGAAAAGAAATGTTACTAGCATACATAGATACGTTTTCATTCAGCAATACACATGCGCGCGCGCGCACACACACATACATAGACATGAAGAATACAGATCGTGCACTAGATGTTGATAACCATTTGTTCTCGAGTTTACACTTGTATAATATGAGAACTAGGGCCAATAAGAATGTTGAGATATTAACCTTTCCAAAAGCCCCACAGAGGGTTTTCTTCCTTGACCATACTGCTGAAAGAGGTACTTAACGATGTCACCTATGTTCAAAAGTAGAAAGAATACATGTCATATAACATTACAGAGATGACGATTTTAGCAAATTTCTACAAGTCAAGTACATTTTTAATTCAGAACCAAAAAAAAAGTGTCCTTGTGATTAATTAGAAGATGGTGAAGAAAATGATGCATTTATAACATACAAAAACCAGCCAGTTTAGATCCAGATTATATTAAGAACTCAAACAAGCACTAATCATCTGATGAATAACTTACCACTTTCATACATTGAAACACCAGTGTTTGGGTCAACTAGAAACGGAAACCTGGATTAAAACAATATTTGCAATCCAAAATTGATCAAAAAAATCCATTTAAACAAAGTAAATAATAACATTTTTCCTAAAGTGGGATAAAAAAGGTTCCTCAAAGCAGGTAAAATCATCAAATGATTATATGGCAAACGGGCATTCCTTGGTTTGTTGATGACTAATATTACTTTCACTTGTAAAATTTTTGAAAGATAATAGACAAAAGAATGTCTTTTAAGATAAAATTTTCATGAGAAAATTACATACTGCTCTTTGCCACCAAGTCTCCTAACCATTTCTCTGTGCCTTACAGAACCTTTTGGACAAGGATAGACCTGAGAGCATGCAAACCAATGAGTCGATAAATATTATACGCAAAGGAATAACACAATTAAATGCTAGTGAAAATGAGTAAATCCTGTCAGAAGTGTATTCATAACTTTATTTTATATTCAGCCAAATTATTTTGAGCTTCATGATAAAAAGGCAAGTTCCTAGACTGAATTCTTTCAAAGTAAACATCAAGGCACGCCATTATTGCAGGCAGAAAAGATAAAATAAATAATTGTTTATTTGAAACCTAAGGCCAGATTCTGATAAGAAAAAAATAAAATAAAATAAATTTTGTTGTAAAGTTCATTATTGTTACTCACCTCTACAGAAAGATCTAGCTCCGTTATGGCCTCCCGAACCCTCCTGCAAAAAGGGCACGCTTCTGTTGACAAGATTAATTTGCAACTTCAACACGAGAAAGTTCCAATCTCTATGTATCAACAACTTAGCTGAGAGATGAAGATCACTATTGAAGCTTAAATAAGTGCTCGTTTGGTACGAGGGAAAAGTGGAAGGAAGGATAGAGGTGAGAGGAATAGTGGAAGTTGTTTGGTGGAGGAGAGAAGGAGGAGGGATTGAGGTAAGGAATTTCAAATCTTTCAAAGAACTTCAATTTTAATCTCTCTTGATTCGTACAATTTAGAAGGAACAAATATTAACCACCATTATAGAACGGTCTTTCCCTTCCTCTCCAGTCTTCTCACCTAGATTATATACCTTTCTTTCTCTCTTAACAAATACACCCTAAGTTGAGAAAGAAATCATTAAGATCCATTGTGTAACTCAGATGATATGATCTTCTACTTAGTCTGTCATACCTGTTCTCAAGTTTAGCCATATTTAGCACGTTCAAAGATCTAAATCAAACTAAAAATTCCCTAAATCAATATTATTTACCAACAAAAAGCTTACCAAATTCGAAAAGCTGTAAGCGCATAGGAGGGTCTACGGTGGTAATCTCCTCTCTAACCACACTATTTGACACTGATTTTGATCCCCATGGAATTCTTGCCAAGGAAGACAGGGATGATGTTACCTCCTATAAATATGCCAAGAAAACAAAATTGTAACATGCATGAACAAAATTGTAACATGCATGAACTGACAACACAAAACATGAGCTAGATTAAATTATCCCAACAAACTAGCAAAAGCAATTAGAATCACTCTCTTATTAAAAAAACCAGAAAAAACGCGTTTCAAAGAGAATAGTTACCTCCAAAGTATAGTTTCGTTCTCCGGAGGGATCTCCTCCCTGCAATATAAATGAAGAAAATATTTGTATTAAAATCAATGATAAAATTTTGTAGGTTGTTAATCAATGAGAACTGCCTTCAAAAAAAAAAAAAAAAAAAAAAAAAAAAAAAAAAAAAGTGGTTATAAGAGATTTACAGTGAAGAGCTTGAGCAATGGACAGAGAAACGACAGTAAACTGGTTGATGGGTTGCCATCGTCAGTGGAAACAGCAACACTTTCCCGAGAAAACTGAGTGGGAATTTCGGTGGTGTCTGTTGTCTCTGAATCAGCAGATTTTGCACAAAACCTGCTTCTGCGAGAAACCCAATTCCCATTTCTGAAACCTATTTCGAATTTTTGGGTAGATGAAGGAAGTAGAGTGGCTGATAAAAGAGAAGTCTTGGTTCGTTGGGAAAACGGCTGAGATGGTTGGTTCGAGCAATAGTCATGGAAGATTCACCTCAGCCAAACCGATGACATTCTCTTTTGTGTGGGATACTATGATTAATTTCTTTTGCCTCTTCTGTGGCTAAAAAGGAAGGTTTGTTTTTTTTTTTTTTTTTGCCTAATTTGTTTTGTACAAGGAAAAACCACTAAATTATACATGCCACTAAAGAAGCACTCAGATTACTGTTCTTTTAAGGGGACGTTTAGTATGCAGTCATCTTAATGATGAAAATAGAAATTTGTAATATTACCATATTTGGTATAAAAATTATAATTTTTAGATTCTCAGGAGAGTGATTACCATAAGATTCACTTTTTCCTATTTTAAGGTAATTTGAATACGACTCAACATGGTGTTATTTAAATTCCCAAGAATCTCAAAATCATGAGAATCTTATTATTATTATTATTATTATTATTATTGTTATTATTATATTTATTATTATTATTATTATATTTATTATTATTAATAATATTATTATTTTATTATATTTATTATTATTTTTATTATATTTATTATTATTATTACTATTATATTATTATTATTATTATTATTATTATTATTATTATTATTATTATTATAGTTATTAATATTATTATTTTTATTTTTATTAATAATATTATTATTATTTTTTTATTAATATTATTATTATGGATCTTCTTCCATGCGAACAACCAAACACAGTAATGTAATATTCCTGGGAATTTGAAAAAAATTCTTGTATGAAACCAAACACAGTAATGTATTATTCTTATGAATCATATTACCCTCTATCACTTTTCGGGGAATATGATTCCTATTGATTCCCGCATACCAAACGCCCCCTAAACAGTACCTGCTCTTTTCTGTATTTATTATGAAAATTTTGCCCATATCTTACATATTATTAAAGGAGGCATCTCAATTACTTTTTTTGAACAGTATGCGGTCCCTCCTGTCAATTTGTTGTGAAAAAATTCCGCTCATATCCTTTTATCTCGGTTTCTTATTTATTCAGTTGTTTTGTGTTGGGTTTTTTAGTCATTTCTGTTGGCTCACAATTACCGACTTATTTTTTTTCTCGAGTGGAAAATGATTGTGTGCGGTGAGATTTAGCAAAAAACCACGTGTCGAAATCCAATTGCGCATCTTCTTAAGGGCTCTCCACGTGGTAGAATACAGACCGCCTGATAAAATCGTAGCCACATGTCAAATTTTAAATGGTCAAGAAGAGTGCGCTCATGTGAAACTGAAACAACTGATCACGTTCATCTCCTATTGTTGCCGACAGCTAAACCACGTGTCGCACTCTGATTCGCAGGAAGAAAGCAAATGGCGGGGCCCACCTTTGGTTTTGCTGACGCCATTGTATCCTGCTACATTCTGGATGCGCGTCTTCTTGCGCGTGTGTTTCATGCGCTAATCGCAACCACTGAATTTTTAGATCCAGCGGTCTGTATAAATTCTGAATTATTTTTAATTATTATTATTTATTATATTTAATTATTACTTTATAATGGATTTGTAGTCTAATTTTATCTGTTCTTACACTATTTTGCATGAAATTTCTGATACGACTTAGATAAAAATACTTTAAATGATCAAATTAAATTCAAAAAATACGCTAAATATAATAAAATCACGTCAAATTAAATTAAAAAATAAATTAAATAAAATAGGTCCATACGGGCCTATCGACAAGATCCCTCCGCTACCATTATAGACCCCCCAAAAAAAATTCATTATTAATGCTCTGCCATATATGTCGCACCACGAGTTCTTTAGGCCAGACCAAATAGAATTCATGTCATCGTACTCTAACACGTTTCTTTTAGGTATTTTCCCCCTTCAATTTCTTTCTTTTTTTAAACAATTTACATATTAGTTATTTTAAATAGATTAAGTGTGTGACTTATAATCATTCCCTTTTTCATAATTTTAATTATTTATTATGTTTGTTTATTTATTTATTTTTAAGTGATTTATTCGCCGATTTTTTCACCGTTTTGTGCCAACTTTTTTATGCTACACAGATAAAAATATATAAATAATTTATATGAATTATAACCATTTAACTACCATCTTGCGCACAAACTTTCTGATACTACTCACATGAAAATATTGTGTATAATTCTAATGAAAATATAAATAAAAATATGTTGAGTTAAAATAGAATATCATCTTCATACTTTTTAAAAAAATATATATTTTATTACATGTTCATTATTTCGTAACTGAGTATTACATTATTTACTTCAATCTTATTATAAAATAAATAAACAAATATATGTGTAATAGCACTGACAACTCACTAGTACTTTCTAAAGTTAATAATTACGAGTCCGTTTAGTTCGTTGATTCAAGTTGAGATGTGACTTTATGTGAGAGCTTTTTACTGTAACAAAAAAATTAGATGTGAATGTTTCTGAAAGTTTTTTACTGTAACAAAACTCGAATTCTATATTCAAATCAGTGAAATGAAGGGCTTGTTCTTTTGGAGTGTGACTTGAGTGTAGTTTTTGAGTTGAATTTAGTTATAACTTGAGTTGAAGTTGTAACTTGAGTTTGTGTTTGGTTGTGTACATTTGAGTTATAGTTTGAGATAAGAATCTTTTTTTGAGTTTGTGTTTGAGTGAGTCAAAATTTAAATTTGTATTTATATAGTATTTTAATAAAAACTTAATGGTGATGAAAAATTTTAATAGAGTATATAGGTGTGGTTTTATTCGTCTTTTCGTTGTCAATGCATAGAAAAAAAATCATCTCAATCAGGATTAAAACGAAAAAGTTATAACATTTTTAAGAATATAAAAAATAATGTTCATTAATTTGAGTTTGAGTTTCTGAACTTGAGTTGAAGGGGACACTTGAACTCGAGTTTTAGTCTGAAACTCGACTTCAAACTTAAAAGAACATGAATTTAAATAATATTAAAACTCGAGTTATTTTTTTTAAGTTTTTTAGGCAGCGGAACACGATTTACGCTTGTCTCAGTTTCAGTTGAAAAGAAGTGTGGCGAATCCAACACTGAAATTGTTGTTTCGAACTGATTGGTGTCTTGAATCATCTGGACACCTGAAATTGTTGTTTGTATATTTCGTTACTTTTAACATGTGGCATACTTTTAATTGCAAGAAATTATAAATATGTATAGTGGGAAAAAAAAAAGTGTCGCACGGCGTAAGGAGCAAAAACTTGATGGAACGCACATGAACATTTCCAGAAAAAAATAAAAAATGCTTACTTATAATTTATAAACTTTTCTTTAGGTTCTCTTAAGGGCAACACCAATATAATATTAAAATAATATTTAATATTTAAAAGAAATTCACATGCAATGTTTTTTTTTTATGTTAAATTTGTTAAATGTTCTACTTTATAATAAATTTATCAATTTTGACATTTAATAATAATCAATTTTGACATTTAATTATTATTAATAATACATTAACATTTTATTTAATCGTCACAACACTGTTTAGTTAAAATTATTTTAATGTTCAAAATGTTATGTTTATAAGTTTCAGAGTTCAATAATCATAAAAAAAAAAATAAATATGACATTTAAAAGCATCAGAGTTCAAAATAAAATAATACATAAAATATGCAAAGTCACATTTTTCAATGACAAATATAGCATCGTTAGTATTTATACGAAAGATGGTTTGAGTAAGCGAAAAAATTAAATGAAAAATAAAATTTTTTAGAAAATAAAGTAAATGAAAAAATTACACAAACTAATTTATTTTTAGGACTAGGTTATAATTAGGGATTTTTTTAATAGTTCTTGTAAAAATGGACTATTGATAGTATTTTATTTTTTAATCATTAGATATGTAGTAAAATTTGTTCGTTCTACATATTTCTTTAATCCGATGTAATTTTAATCAGATCTAATAGTTAAAAACTGAAACTATCCGTAAGCGGACTACTGTAAAAAATCTTATGCATTTTTTGAGTTAGGATGACTTGAGTTCAGATATTGATTTGAGTTAAGGTGTATTTGAGTATGGTTTGAGTTGAGACTCTAATTTGAGTTTGTGTTTAGATGTGCACATTTGAGTTATAGTTTGAATTGAGAATCTATTTGAGTTTGTATTTAGATAAGTCAAAACTTGAATTTGTATTTAGATAGTATTTTAATAAAAATTTAATGATAATGGAAAATTGTAATAAGGTATATAGGTGAGGTTTTATTCGTCCATTCGTTGTGAACGCATAAAAATCATCTAAATTGGAATTAAAACGAAAAAGTTTTGACGTTTTTAAAAATAAAAAAAAAAGATTATTCATTAACTTGAGTTTGAATTTAAGAACTTAAGTTGAAGGGAAAACTTACACTTATATTTTAGCTCTAAATTTAAGTTTAATCTCAAATTTTATAAATAAAAAAAAACATGAACTTTGAGTTTAAATTTTTTTGAGTTTAATCGTAAATGAACAAGTCCTTATTAATTAACCTATATACTTAGCCGCCAGCTGCACAGTTGGACGTGTGGAACACATTGACCACATGAAACGCCAACTTGCGGCCCAAACGCAAGAGCAACGTCGCGCCCCAGAGAGCGCAGGCACGCACCAACTGATATAATTTACTACTCGCTTCTACACACACACACACACGCACACACAATTCGGTTTTGATAAAAAGCATATTCTCTCGCTCTCATCGCGTCGTTTTCCACAGCCCCTTCTGGTTTTTTCACTCACTTCCCAATTGGTCTCTTTGTTTATTTTTCCTCCTCGATTTTTTTGTTTTTATATATATAATTATAAATCCGTTACAGATTTTCTCACCCTTTCCTTTGCTCTCTTCGTCTTCTTCTTCTCCTTTCTTCTCATTGTGTTCTTGGCGGAGAGAGAGAGAGATAGAAACTTTCCGTTAGAGTCTAATTCGGGAGTGGGCATGGATCTCTGGTCCGTACAGGTGAAGTACACCGGTAGAAGCCCCCTATTCCTCAGAAACTCGTTTCCCGAGAAACCCATTTCTTTGAATCCGGGAAAGAAATGGAATTCTCTTCTGGGTATTGGCGAAGGGAGGGTCTTCGAGATCAGGGTCTTGAAGCGTAGGGTTACCTCTTCTGGGCTTCCTTCTTTTGTTGTCAGAGCTATGGGGAAGAAGAATCATGGCAATTCCTCTTTTTCTGGTATGCTTTCTCTCGCTGCGACCCATCTGCATGTAATTTTTTTTTTCTCAATTTCCGTTTCTGGGATTGATAATTTTTGGCCTGGTTTTGATGTATTTTTCTTTGTTTTGTGATGAATTCCAATTAACATTTTCCACCGGTGTTTGGGAAGTTTGACTTTCTTCTGCGTTCCGAAAGAAGTTCAATTTCTTATCACATGCATATGTAAAATTTGTTTTCTTTTCCTTTTTTATGTAGCCAACGAGAACGCTTTTGAAGTATAGGCTGTCCGCTGTTGTGTTTATGGAATTATTTTTTGTAGATATGCAAATTCTAGCTGTATTTACAGGAACGTGGAATAGTAAACATAAAATTATATAAAGACGTTATGAGGGGAAAAAACTTAAAAAACTTGTTTTGGTCTGCTTTTTAGGTGAATTACGACAGGCACTATATCTCTGAAAACGAAGGAAATGTGGAGATATATTTATTTTACCTTCATGTTGAGTGCAACACATCCAAGCTGTGGGCTTTGGCTAATGGGTTATCTACTTTTCTCCGATACCTTTCCTTTGTAGTGTACTGATTAAGCCATTGTTTTGGCAATCAAAGACCAACTAATAACCCGTTTACTTTTCCAAGCAAAATCCACATTCTTACTATAAGATATAAAGTCTGTTTTTTTTTTTTTTTTTCCTTGGAACTTTGAAACTATAATATTATTTGTAGTTCAAAGTGTTTTGCTAGAGTGTTTTAGATGGCCTGATCTAGACAAGTCTTTGGTAGTAATAGATATTGTTTCGTGCTGGTATGCTGATCTGGTGTTACAAAGTGGATATTTTTATACGACTATTGATAAAAATATTTCCTAGTTATTTGCAAGAATTGTGATTTTAGGGTACTCCAGATTTTACTTTGAAGATGATTTAACTTCATGCGAACAATTCCCGTTCACGAAACAAGTTCTTGACCGTTTCCTAAAGAAAAAGAAGAAAAAAAAAATCTTGACTATCAAGTACTATCTAGAATTTTAAGCTTATGAAGTATTTGGGTTACTAGTGATTTACGTAATTATCCATGGTTGTGATATTACATATAGGAAATGGTGATCAGTCTACTCCAGAAGGGGATGGTGGGAGAGGCAGCAATTCTTCTGATTCCCAGAACTCCCTTCGTATAAGCACAGATTGGAGAGAGGTCAGAGCAAACCTATTCGCTCGAGAGCAGGTGATGTTTTCATTTTTTTCCTTTCTTCTTTTGGTTTTATTTCTTTATTGCCTTGAAACAAAAGTATGGCAATGGTATAACAATTCTTACTAGTCATAGAGAGTAACGTACAGTTGTCTGGCTTATGTATTATTATTCTTTTTTTTATTTTTTGAGAAAAGTACATGGTTTGCCATGGTTTTGTGCAGTCCTATTATTTATGCCATACTATATAATTAGGTGCCATTATGGCCTTTTGGTTTCTCTTTATTAATTGAATGACAATTGTTTGTTTTTGAGTGGAGTGGCGTAAATAATATTTTTTACCATCTTGAGTGGTGTTTCTAGTTTTTTTTTTTTTCTTTTTTTTTTTTACACTGTTCTAAGACGGTGGATAAGCCTATAATGCCATTGCGTTTAAATGATTGAGAAAAAAAAAATGAAAAACCATTATTACGTGGTCGGTTGAACATGAAATCTACATTGTGGAGATACCCAAAGCTAAAGCAACAAGCTGCACAGCCTGCATTATCTGAAAGGGAAATTTTGGTGAAGAATCAAATTTCCATGTACTTCGTTATGTTTTTGTGTCTCATATCTGTTTATTTATTCTGCCATATTCGACTTTTAATAAAGTTGGCTGAGGGAACTTGTAGATAATTTATAGCTGAACATGGTCCAAAAACTGTCTAGTGCGCTTCTTGTTTTTTGTACTTTGGTTTAAGCTCTGAGAAATGAGTTGAATTTCCTAAGTTTTTCTCTCAGCTGACACTTGGGTTCAAACCCTATGGTAATCAAAACTGTTACACCTTATTTCTGCTTTGTGGTCTTCTCGTGCATTGCCGTCATTTTCACGTATCGAACTTAATCACTTACATTGATTAAGAATATCACTCATGCTCTACAATATAATTTGTCCCGTAAACTTTTCACAGGCTGAAAAGGCAGAATCTGACACCCAGAACAAAGGTGAGACATCCCATGAATCAAAGCCTCTTGGCTTGAAGTGGGCTCATCCTATTTCTGTACCTGAGACAGGCTGTGTCCTTGTTGCCACAGAAAAGCTCGATGGGGTTCGCACCTTTGAGAGAACTGTTGTCCTTCTTCTTAGATCCGGAACCAGGCATCCACAAGAAGGGCCTTTCGGCGTTGTCATCAACCGGCCACTGCACAAGAAGATAAAACACATGAAACCCACTAATATAGATCTCGCAACCACATTTTCTGATTGTTTTTTGCATTTTGGTGGGCCTCTGGAGGCAAGCATGTTTCTGCTTAAAACAGGGGGAAGATCAAAGCTTCCTGGGTTTGAAGAGGTGATCCCTGGCCTCTGCTTCGGTGCGAGGAACAGTCTTGATGAAGCTGCAGAACTAGTAAAGAAGGGTGCTCTTAAGCCTCAGGATTTCAGATTCTTTGTTGGTTACGCTGGTTGGCAGCTGGATCAGTTGAGAGAGGAAATTGAATCCGATTACTGGTATGTGGCTGCTTGCAGCTCAAATTTGATAAATGGCGGTTTCTCAGATTCTTCATCAGAAAATTTGTGGGAGGAAATTTTGCAGCTAATGGGTGGCCACTATTCCGAATTAAGCCGAAAGCCTAAGCAGGATATGTAATTAATAATGTATCAGCCATTGCATGCTCATAATAAAACTAATTAATTAGTTGAAGCCAGACTGGTAATTATGGTATATGTGGAGTCAAATGTACAGAAAGTTTAGTGGTAAGCAGATCAGTAGATCTTGTTTCTTTTCTTCCATTTATTTCCCTGTTCACTTTGTTTTTCTATTTCCTTTTTCCTCCTTTTTAAACAAAGAACTTGGCTATTATATACTTCTTGTATGTAATATTCTCAAAGTTATCTCATTGAGGAAATGCCATGTGAAATCCTTTGGTTATAATGATGCATATTATTTTAGAAAGTTTATACCGGCAAAGAAAATACATTGTAGCATCTTTATGTACACTCATTCTATAAACTAGGTGTTAAGGTGTCTGATAATCAGTTCACATGCAACATCTATAGCATGATGATTTTGGAGAAAGAAAATGGATAATTTACAATGTGTATATGACCAGCCTTTTCCGCTATACGAAGCAAATTTCTCACTCGCAGTATCTTAGTCAACCAAAGAAAAGAAAAATGCCCACTTGACAACTATAAAACGTTGGAGTGATTTCATCGCAGGAGAAATTATAATACAGCTCCAGTCTGGTTTTGATTTGTGAATGTACATAACCAGCTCAATCTTGGTCATGTCTTCAAAGCGTCTAATCTTCCTTCTCGAGCTTCATCGTCTGCAAGCTGCCGCGGTTATCAGAATAGCCTGGTGATCAGAATGAGAGTATCGGTTCCTCCCAAGGCAGCAGAATTTGAGTTTTAGAAACATGTCGAGGCGGCAGGGTTTGAATTAGGATCAGGACATGTTTCTTAAACTTCAATCGTCATAATATCTGTTGGTTCTACTTCTAGCTTTATCGAGACGTGCTTTGCGTACGGCCTGTTGGATCTGTTTCTCATGCTCTTTGAGCATGTCTTCTATGTTCCCCCCGGGAGGCACCAATGGCCCTGAGTAATGGATTCTATTCTTCTGCGGTACATATCCCTGAAATCGCTAAAAAAAGTGAGGTTTTCTGAATGCCAAATTATATCAAAATCAAACAGATTCGTAAAAGTCTGACAGAGGGAAAAAAAAAAAGTATTTGTTTACCATGCCAGATTCTTTTGCAGGCACAATGTCGTTCTTCTTAGTGGAGGAGAAAGATGACTCAGCCGGTGGTGGCTGAGGCATGTGAGATCTCTGCGTCCTAAACTCCGGTTTGTTTCTGGTAAAGTCTGCCGCCTTATGCCGTGATGGTCCTACTACTACTGCACTGGGGTGTACCATTGAAGTAGAGTGAGCATATCCATTCTGTCTAGCTCCTCTCGGTGGTTCCATTCTAAACCCCGAGCCACCGTCCTCCTGGGGGCTGTATTTATGGCTCGAGGTTTTGGCTTTCGACTGTTTCTGCCAATGTTCGTGTAAACCACAATAAACTTATTCCAGTGTCTTCATGTGAAAGAATCTACTAGGAAGATGTGTCTATCAAAGCCAATGTAAGATGTTACCTGCAAAGGAATATCGTCTTGATTGTCGAATTCGGGTGTTGGAGTTTGTTTGTTATCTCTTGAACCTCTTCTAACCGATTCAGGGCCGCGTCCTCTCACGGTATCTGCTTTGCACCTGAAATAAAACAAGAGATCGCTTAACTGAATGTGTTATACAACATTTGAAGGTCTGACTAAAGGCCCAATGTTCTGCAAAACAATACCTTCTTGCTTCCTCATTGCGAAGCTTAGCGTCAAACTCCTTGCTTGGAGGATATTTTGGCAAACAGGATGGATCACAAGGGAGGGGCTCGGACGTGAAAAACTGATGTAGAGACAACCAAAGTTAGAAATTAAGTATAGAACGTCTGTGACAACATTATAAATTAGAAATGGAAAAAAATAACACATAATGTGGTTTCTTATTGATCTGGTATGTATTATGATTTAGGACAATAAACCAAACTCGTTGTCTTCTAATGATGATGGAGACAAGGTGAGCTCAAACTCACATCACTTTCGAGTGTGGATACAGCTGAACCCCGGCTCTCTGGTTCTATAGTGAGGAGTCTATCAACGAGAGCCAAAGCGGAAGGAGGAAAGTCTTTGAATGTCTCGGGGACACAACGTTTGTAGGGTTGTTGGGGTTTGAAGCTAGTTGCATGTGGTAATCTTGTTCTCTGCCAAAAGTCCTCAGATGGTGAACCACAAAGTTTGAAAATCTTATGCATTTGTTCCACCTGAAAAAAATAACATAGACAATCATTCACTATTGAAGATAGTAACAATAATTTTTCTCGTGAAAGAACTTTGTTTAAATACAAGATTTCAAGAACCAAACTCACCTCTGTTCTGCCAGGCATGATAGGTTTTCCCGCGAACAATTCGGCAAGGATACAACCAGCGCTCCATAGATCAATGGCAGGTCCGTACTCAGTGGAACCAAGCAGAAGCTCAGGAGCTCTATACCAGAGGGTTACCACACGGCTCGTCATTGGTTGATTTTTGTCGTAGAATGTGGCCAGACCAAAGTCGGCAATCTTGAGAACTCCATTGTTGTCAATGAGAATGTTTGAGCCTTTAATGTCTCGGTGCAAAACACCGCGACTATGGCAATGCTCAAGTCCACGAAGCAATTGTTGCATGTAGCATTTTATCTGCAAGTCCATCACACAATTCATTTCGTCTAAAACCACCAGATGTCGGAAATATAACATAATAATGTAACAGTTTTGTTTTGTTGCCACAGATACAGTGATGCGTCGTCTAATAGTGATAAACAAAAATGCTCGAACAAAATTAGAGACGATAAACAAGTTTGGAATTAAAAAAAAAATGTAACTTTCTTAGTGGGAAATTGGAGGAGAATATAGAAAAGAATGATGCACCTGGGGTTCAGTAAACTTGATGCCTGGCGTTGCAGCTATACCGGCAAGATCATGTTCCATGTACTCGAACACAAGGTACAAGTTGCGAGACATTCGTGAGGTGACTAGACCCTCAAGCTTCATAACATTTGGATGATCTAGTCTACGCAAGATATGGATTTCCCTCGCCATAAAACGCACACTTTCTGGATCCATGTTCACAAATCGAACTTTCTTCAACGCAACAATTTTGCCAGTCTCAAGGTCACGAGCCTTGTACACGCTGCTGTAAGTTCCTTGCCCAATCTGCATTATTTTAATTTGGGTGAATTAACAGAAGTAGTAGTAGTAGTAATAATAATAATAATAATAATAATAATAATAATAATAATAATAATCGCGTAAAATAAAAAAAGGTGAAAAAATAACATCTAGTTCACCAAGTCTGTATAGTTAGCAAAACTGCATCTACATAACCATTTCTAAACGCTAGATTATATCAGAAAAGTACTCAGAATCATATATATTTAGCAAAATGTGATGAAAATTTGACAGTTTAAGCCTGCGTGACTTTACCTAAAAAATAAATAAATAACTAAACACGCGTGATCAGTAATACTTTTGTACTCCGCCAAAAATTCCTCTATAGCTAGAAAAGTGCTATGAAATATTCCAATGACTAGTTTATATGAAAATCTGGCCGTTAAAAACATAAAAGACTTACTTTATCCAACTTTTCAAAGGAGTCCGCACGTCGAGGCACCAACCCTCTGATAGCATCTCCAGCGACAGAAGTCAACCACGACGGCCACCCGAACGCTTCTCCACCATCACCTCCGCCGCCGTGTACGACACTAACAATCCTGGTCATCTGTCGTCCTCCTCCATCGGCCGTGGCCGCCCATCTCTGAGGCCTGTCGACGGCCGTCGTCCTGTTGTCATCGTCCTTGGGCTTTCTATGCACAGACCCGACCGTGTTTGCCCGCGAGGCCGTTCGGGAGAGACGGTGGACGGAGCCGTCGAACCCGCCGATCTCCACCAAGAAGTTTTCTCTCTTGTGGGAAGAAGGGTTGACCAGCTGGACCGAGGTCTTGCTCAGCTCGTTCGCTTTCTCGTACTTGTCGGGCGTTTCCTTTCCCGACGCTCCTTTTGAGCAAATGCAGCCCATGATTCTCACCAACAATGGGTGATTTTTTTTCCTCCAATTATCTATAACTGCGTCGTTATCGCTTTCTTTCTTTTTCTTTTTTTAAATTAATCTTGCATTTTTCCTGGGAAACCAAGAGTTTCCCGCGACTTTTCAATCCGGGTAGTCCTCAGAATCATCAACAACGACTTTCAACAACAGAGAAGAAAAGAAAAAATCAGGAACTTCATTGCATGTTAAGAGCCCTGTCTCTGCAACAACGAGTTTCAACAACAGAGAAGAAAAGAAAAAAAATCTGGAACCTATTTTTCCTCTGCGAAAATGAGATTACTTTCGTTTTATTTCGGATATAGAAGAAGATCAGGGGTTTCTTTTTTTTTTTTTTTTTTTCTTTTTTTAAGTTTTCATAAGAAAAACAGAGATACTGAAAAATGGAGAGGACAATAATGGAAAAAGGCGAAAAAAAAGTTGAAAAATGAAAATGGAACTCTGTTATGATTGGGGACAGAGAAAGAGATTTGCGGGCGTGGATTTGTCCTAGAAATGAGGAAAACCGATGGTTTTTGGGATTTTACAGAACGGTGGGAGATCCAGCTCTCTCCAGCTATACACTGTTTTTCTTTTTTCTTTTTTTTTTTCTTTTTTTTTTCCTTATAAGAGATATTGCAATCGCATCATAATTTAATTAAAATTATTAAGCGCTTTTGTAAAAATTTCTCTTAAAATTAGATAGAAAAATAAAAAGTTAAATGTGATAACGTAATTTTTATCTATTTTTTAAATATAAATTTAAATAAAAAGATTAAATAGTTACGTTATTTTTTGTATATGTTTTTAATAAAAATTATAAATATAATAAATTAAATGAGAATAATTTAAAATTTAAAAAATAAAATGAAAATTTTTAAAATTTAAAGAGTAAATTAAAAATTAGGTCATCAATGACAATAATCATTTTATAAAAAAAAAGAAAGAAAAGGAAAGTTTTTGGTATGCAATATTAGTACTACTTTTGTCATGTGGATATTGTCTTCGAATTGAATAGGGGGAAAGAGAGTGTGATAGAATTGCTCTGTTTTTCCTACTTTTATTTAAAAACAAAAAACCTTTTTTTTTTTTTTGTTGTTTTTTCGTAGTTGCTTCATTGGAGTTTGGAAAATTTGCGATACGCAGAAGACGTGCGTCCAACTATATTTTGCTGGAGTGAGTCCACGTGGCTATACGTCGACTCTCACAAATTGGGCCCCACTTCAACTAACTAAACGATTCTCTCCAACTTCCCACCATTCGGCCGGGTCGAAACGACGATAACTTTTATGTCGTCTTATTATTATTATTATTTTTTTGACAGGTCGTCTTATTTATTTTTCATTACACTCGTCTTAAGAATTCAACATCCTAGTTTTCTCCGCACCAATATCATTTCACCCCTTCTATTCCACTGAGCATGAAATACGTGTATTAATATACAACATTTTTTTAATAAAGAAAATAAACTAGGAGAAATCTTAATTCATAATCTTCGTAGTTCAGCTACAGCTTGGCACATCTTCTTTGAGCCTGTATCCAACAAAATTCCGGTGATTGCTGAATGGAAATTGGAAAATGTTTCACGGGTCAGGACTTTTAATGCTTTTTGAGGAATATACGAGTCAGAGGAAATTTTGGTTTGTACATTCTGCGACAATTTCGGTTTGGAAAGTGTTGATTGTCCAAGAAGATGCTGCCGTGTCGGACAGAAGGCTTTTTGAACAAAAAAAAAAAAAAAAAAAAGCTCGAATGGTATTTTTGAAAGGCTTATAGGTGAGGTGGGGCCATGGCGTCGCTTGGAGAATGCTTACTTGCGTAACATGCTCTTTGGCATTCATCTATTTTCTAGATCTAACAACGTTCAAGTAGACGTCCTTGCAGGGGGGAGCCACTTGAGGCCCGGGGGGAGTGGGGGGAGGGGGAGCTACCCCCTCAGCCCAAGTGGCTCCTTTAATTTTTGGTCTCTAACTTTTAGCCCCTTGAAATTTATAATTTACAAATTTTTTGCCCAAGTTTTTAAGTAGTTTCTATTATCTTTCAAATCATAGTTTCATGTATAATTACTTTTAACCAAACTTTTTAAAATTTTAAATTATATTTTAGGGTTTTTAGCACATATGTCCTCTAAATTTGTCGTAGTTTAACAAATTGCCTTCCAAACTTTTAATTTTAATACGTTGCATTCTCAACATAAAATTGTTGCAATATGCCCCACTTTGACAATGATTGTATTAACATTGAACAAAAAATTTCAAAATCCTAATTAAAATATAACACAAATCTTTCAATTTCTCAATTTTTAATCCTTTAAATCTAATAACAAATTTGAACAAATTTAGTAAAATGGGATACATTGCAACAAATTTATAAGTTCAGGATGTTGATTATCAAAATAAAAATTTGAGAGATAATTTACTAAATCACAATAAATTTAGGGACCAATTGTGCTAAAAACCCTATATTTTAATTTTGACTCTCAAGAGTACCAAAACTCAAACTTAAAATTTTAATAAAAGCAAAAATTAACTACACTACTATGTAAATTCTAGTGTCGATAGAAAACGACTGTACATACTTGAAATAAACCACATGTTGTTTTACTTCACGACACACGTCAATTTCAAAATAAAATAAAATAAAAACGACAAGATGTTCGAAATCAACCATAAACGTCCTTCGTCAGTCCTTACAATATTTTGTTAATGTTAGGGTATTTTGCTCATTTAGCCTCTAAATTTTTAGTTTGGTAATTTGTCCCTCAATTTGTAAAATGTTGAAATGTGTTATATCCTGATGATAATTATGTTAAATTGGTGATGAAAAAATATGTTGAATGAAAAATTTCAACATCTCCATTCAAATGACACATAAGAGCATCTCTAACGCAAAGTTATAATTAATGTGTCAATTATAATTTTAACATTTGAATATAAAAAACACTCTCAAATGTAATGCTATTTGTTATGTCAAATTGTTCATATGCTACTAAGTATAGCAATCAAAATTTTCATGTAATCATTGCAACTTTTACATTTTTTAATTATTTTAAACATAAAAGTTTACTTTTTACAATTTTCAAAGCTTAACAATTATGTAAAAAAATAGATTTAGCATTATGCATTAGAGTAAAAATAAAAATAGCATACTATATCACACTTCTTTATGGTAAATATACAATTGACATTAATATTTTAAAATTCGTTGCAATTATAGTTAAATTGAAAACGAAATTTAATTTTAGTATGAATTAGTCACTTTTAATTTTCATAATTTAATTTTTAAAATTTTAAATTCGTTGCAATTACAGTCAAATCAAAAATGAAGTTTAATTTTAGTATGAATTAGTCACGTGACATGCACGTGATAGTTTAATGAGGCATGAGTAGTCATTTTACATTCATCAATTCAAATAAAATATCCGAGTAAATTTTATAAAATTCAAGAAAATTTTTGGAGATCAAAAGTATAAATTTTCTCTAAAATCAATGTAAAAATGACATTGTTTTGAAGAACTGCGAAATTTTGTTTTGAGTATTTTAAGGAAAACTAGCAAAAGTATAAATAACATGTCTTTTTTGCAGACATTTAATAATGAAAAGGCGCTTTTGTACATGCACTCTTTTAAATTTGCAAGTTTGGTAATTTAATCCTTTAACTTTTAATTTTCATAATTTAATCTTAAAATTTTAAAATTCGTTACAATTACAGTCAAATTGAAAACGAAATTTAATTTTAGTATGAATTAGTCACTTTTAATTTTTATAATTTAATTTTTAAAATTTTAAATTAATTGTAATTACAGTAAAATTGAAAACAAAGTTTAATTTCAGTATGAATTAGTCACGTGACATGCACGTGATAGTTTAATGAGGATGAGTAGTCATTTTACATTCACCAATTAACCCAATTATACAGATCAAAACGGAGGAAAAAAAACGTTGAAATTGGGAATAAACGTTTTAGGGGAAAAAGCTTGGAATTTGAGGCAAAATGAGTGCACGAGCAAGAACTTAAAGTGAAAATAAAGATGTTTTGTGCGATTGTAAGAAGTCAACTCGTTTATTAATGGCATGGATGGATGCAAATCCTCAAAAAAGATTCCATAATTGTTAAACTTGGGTAAGTTATTGTGTTTTTATTGTATAATTTTTTAGTCGTTTAAAGTTCTATTGCAATGTTTAAAAAATTATTTTAAAATGTTTTCCCTCACAAAATTTAAATTTAAATTTAAATTGTTTTGAATCTATTCTACTACCGCGTCGTGTCCCAATACTATGGGAGAAAAAAGAAATGCAGAATTCGCCACATTGGGGCTCGAACCCACGACCACAAGTTTAAGAGAGCCTTGCACTCTACCGACTGAACTAGACGTGCTGCTAGCAGCATTTTGGTTTTTAACAAAATTCACAATTGTCAACCATTCATTTTGGTGTCTGACAGCTGAAGAAATAAAAACATAATAAATCTGAAATAATAATCTATTAATTGTAATGGATATCTATTGTCTAATGACTCCATAACTCTCAAACAAAAAAACTTGTAATCTGTAGCGAAAATATATATCGCGTAGGTGCAGAGATAATAGTAACGACGCCGTTACTTGTTGCACAGCAGTGGACAGGACTGTATTGGATAGGTGTCTGCAAAGGGGGTGCTACGTTTCAACAAAGCAGAGAGTGGATTAAGCAGAGAAATCATGCAGGAAAATCCAAAAACCATCCGTCAAAACCTCAGGTGTGCGACCAAACACGTGTGGTCTCAGCATTCCATGCATGTTTTCATGGTGTTCATCATCTATCACTATGTTTCACACTTTTAACTCTTCTCCCCAACCCTTCCTTATCTTTTTTCTATCTCTTATTATTCCCAAACCCAGAGAAATTTCTAAATTTCCTTTCTTTATATTTCTGGGTGGGCTGATGATCCATATTGAATATTAATCAATTATATATTAATGGATTTTGTGAACACTTTTCTGAATTGGGTGGTGCCTCCGGCGAGCATGGTGATGCTAGCCTGTGCATGGCCAGCCTTGTGCTTTATCAGTGCTTGTGAGTGGCTTTACAGCACTTTTTACGAAGAGAATATGGAAGATAAAGTGGTTATTATCACCGGAGCTTCTTCCGGCATTGGGGAGGTAAGTTGTCAAGTCTACCATCTTCCAAATTATGCTTTTTTTTTTTTGGGTCCGTGCTCAGTTTTAGTGTCCTTCTCTGGTTAAAGTTTTTTATTTATTTATTTTTTTTGTGTGTGGAAAATCTACTGTTTTGGGTTGCATCGATTTGGAGGAAATTGTAAAGGAAATTCCTAATTTTTCTTCTTGACTTCATAATGAACGGGTCAAAATCAATCACATATACTTGTCAACGGGGTCTTAGTAGACATGACCCTCGGTGATATTTGACTTTTTCAACAAATTTTTCAGGGCTTCTGTAGAACACTTTTAGGGGTGGTGCACATTTTTAAACTTAGCCATATCACGATAATTAAAAAAAAAAAATTCAAAATATGATGGAATTTGATGAAAAATATGACTTTAGCAATTATTATTAATATTGTTGATTTTTAATACCACATTAATGACCTCAAATTGTAGCAAATTGCGTATGAATACGCAAGAAGGGGTGCAAATCTAGTACTAGTTGCAAGAAGAGAGACTAGACTTCTTGGGATAAGTGAGAATGCAAGACGTATAGGCGCCAGACATGTTATGATTATAGCCGCAGATGTTGTTAAGGAAGATGATTGCAGGAGATTTCTCAATGAGACCATCAACTTCCATGGCCGTGGTATGTTTTTTACGCGTCTCTTCCACATTTACGTTTTAACAGATTAATAAATGTAACACCATTTACTAGCAGATAAATACTAATCAACCATACTAATTTCCTAAAAAATAACAGATTACATCATGTGTTAGATCTTAAAAATAAGGACTATCTTGACTCTCGCTTTAAAGAATTTGCCATTTTGCCACACTACAATGTTCAATGGCACTTTTTTGTGTCCTCTGGTCCTTGGATTATCTACTCCTTTCCCCCCCCCCCCCCCCCTGTTTTGCAGTGGATCATCTTGTAAACACTGTGAGTTTAGGTCATACATTCTACTTGGAGGAAGTGAGTGATACGTCTGTGTTTCCCCACTTGTTGGTAAGAACAAAATTTATGAACTTAAACATGAATAGTACTTATGCATTTGTCTCAATTAATGCTCTAATATACCTTACTAAAAAGATTACATGTTGATTTTGATAATTGCACTAAATGGCTCAGAGAAAAAGGGTACTAATTATCCTGATTTTTCATTTGCTGTTCTAATTAGGACATAAACTTTTGGGGAAATGTTTATCCAACATTTGTGGCGCTTCCTTACCTTTACCAAAGCAATGGCCGAGTGGTGGTTAATGCATCAGTTGAGAACTGGTTACCTCTGCCCAGAATGAGCTTATATGCTGTAAGTTTATAAGTAATCTCCCAAAACTATTTCTTAAAATTTACACAAAGTTCCTAATTACCTGCTAAATGTTACGTATATAAAACTGCGTCACTAAATGAGCAGGCAGCGAAGTCGGCTCTGATAAACTTTTACGAGACGCTGAGATTTGAAGTGAGAGATGAGGTTGGAATAACAATAGCAACACATGGCTGGATTGGGGGTGAAATAAGTGGTGGCAAATTCATGCTAGAGGAAGGCGCTGAAATGCAATGGAAGGAGGAAAGAGAGGTAAATTACATTTGCAGTTTTTGTTTACAATGTGATCTTTTATCTTATATAAATGTATCCTTGCACAATATTCAAATGTTTCCACGAAATATTACAAGTACTCGTATGTATAAGCTGAGAACCCACTAGAATAAAGAATGAGATTTTGAAAACGATATTTTAGGTACATGTGAGCGGAGGGCCGGTGGAGAAGTTTGCAAGGCTGATAGTTTCCGGGGCATGCCGAGGAGAACCATATGTGAAGTATCCAAGCTGGTACGACATATTCCTAGTCTACAGAGTATTTGCACCAAAAATTCTGAATTGGACATTCCGTTTGCTTCTGTCACCCAACGGTACGAGGCGGACTTCTCTCGTGGGAACCGGAAGGCCTTATTATGCCGAAAGACCCTTATTGGAGGGCTCCTCTCCGAGGAAGTTCCTCACGGGTGGTCCCATGACGTTCCCTCAAATGAGTCCTCCGCACCAGCTAAAACAGGAATGAAGAAGACATAGAAGAAGATCAAGCGCCTATGTTTTGTGCGAGTAGATAGGGTGGTCAATAATTTATTAGCTTATATATCATGTGATGTGTGAGTGATCTTGCTCTTTTTGGACTTTCCTTGCCGGATTCCTAACTCTCATTTCTACGCCTTGTTCAATAAAACAATAAAGCACAGCTTATCTTGGCACATTTTTCTCGATCTTTTTGTTAGTTTAGGGACGTGTAGTAATAATGTCGTTTTTAGTCATTCAATTTCCCAAAAGAATTTTGAAGCCTATATGTTACATCAAGATAACGTCGAGCACCAATGGTGTATTTTAGCACTAGTTGTGGAATATTAGTACTTCACGTGATGCAAAAGGTGTTAAGCTCTCTCTCACGCGTCTGTTCAACACTAGTGATTTTTGGACCCTTCAAATTCTCTTACATATGGAAGTGTGAAGATTTTTGTGATGTACTAGTGGTTTGCTCTGTGGTGGACCTTACAAACACAAAAACGCACTTGGGACATGGACCGTGGTGCGATGAATTAGTGCTCATAAGTCATAGTCATAATGCTTTGCGACAAAACATAATGGAGCTCTTCCTCTTTTTTTTTTTTTTTTTTTTTTTTTTTTTTTGTCATTATTGTTGTTGTTAAACACGAAAAACCAGATCAGACCAGATCTCAAACTAAGAGCATGTCTGTTCCGAATACTTGACACGCTCGCTCGCGTATGAGTAATTGAGTATATACAAACGACGACTGATCAAAAGGGTCCTCAAAAGTAAAACCTATAAATTTAAAAAGGGACCCAAAACGACAACAAAAAAAGGCTGCCTAGAGATAATCCTCAATCGAAATGCTCAAACCAGCCTCCCCATCCGATCCAAGCTCACTGCCTTTCCAACCACCCCAAGCAGCCTCACTACTCTCCAAGACGGCGCCGTTTTGAGTCCCACCCACCGGGCCTCCCGGCGAATGGGCCGAGCCCGAGGAAAACTGGCTCTGGCGGGCGTCGATGGCCATGCCAGCGTCGGAAGCCGCCCTCTGAATGGTCCTCGGCGACATGTCCCCCTGGAGACTGGCGACGGGAAGCATGAGAGGAAAGTTGAGGCTCTCCAACGACACCGGCCTCCGCAGGCAGTAAAACGCAACATCATGGGCCACCGCAGCCGCCTCCGCCGTCGCGTACGAGCCCAGCCAGAGCCTCTCCTGCGAGCCCGGGACTCTGATCTCCGAAACCCATTTGCCCCACTTTCTTCGACGAACGCCCTTGTACTTGGTCCTCGTCTCTTCCGACTTTTCATAACTCATGATTTTCTCTTCTTTTGTCAAAAAAACAGAAAACTTTACCAGAAAATAAAAGTAACGTTGGTTGACTGGTTGGTCCGTTAAATTTGTTGTGGGAACGAAAGACGAAGCTGAGTGCAATATATAGTTTGAAGAAGGAAGAAAGTCAGCGGTGCATTCTCGTGTGTAAATGTAATTATTATGGAAAGAAAACTAGATAGTATCCGAGTTTGAAAGGTCAACTGTGAGTTGTAGGAGAGAGTTGGGGAAGAGCTAGAAAAAGTCAAAATTTTCAAAGGTCAAAATAAGAGGAGGCTTCACCATCCAATCAAAATAAAGACAAAAAATGGACGGTAGTACAACTTGGAATGCAGATACGTCTCAAGAGTATTTATGGGATCTTCTAAGGTTAAAAGAAATTCAACGTACACGTGGGACACTGTTTATGTCAGAAAATCTTACTCCAACTAGACACGTGTTTTTTCTTCTCTCTTCTTTTCTTTTTTGCTAAAAAAATGTGGAAGGAAAAAACTCGAGTAACAAGGATTAAGATTTTTTAAGGGGAGTATATTTCAAATTAAGAAAATACAAACGCCAATAATGTTCTATATGGTCTAAAATAGGAAATCACAATCGTGATACACAATCAATTCCGCTGATAAATTTGAATGAAACGCTCAAAAGAAATAGACTTGTTTTGAATTTTGAAAATGAACACCAAAATAGGAACACTAATAATTAAGCACATAAGTGAGTTTTTACAGAATTTGTAATTGTAATATATATATATATATAGATATAATCCATCAAAATTAAGAGACCTGTAGCACTAAGACAGTATAAAACATTGCTAAGAAACAAAACTAGCAGACATAAAACAACTCAACACTAGAAAACAAGACAAACAAATACCAAATCAGTGTAAAAGCCGTTGTTGTTACAAACCACAACACAGAAAAAAAAAAAAAAAGAAGGAAGAGTCTAAAACACCACTAACAAAACAAACAATGACATTGGTTTTTCCTTTACTTTTTTTTTTTTTTTGGGGGGAAATGAGGAGAAGAAACTATGCTACCGTCAACTTATAACAATCAAAACCATTAAATTTTAAATACTAAAGATTTTAGGCGCTAACTTAAAGAACAGTGTTGTGGTAATGATACTCAACACTACTGAGAGGATACTGAACATCGATAGTCTACCCTCTCATCGATAGTCCTACTCATTAGTGAACATTTGGATTCTAACGACAATGGAAAACATGTTGTGGAGTAAAACTGTATTTGAAAAAGAGTATTAGCACCCATGATCATCGTCAGATGGAGGCATTTTTGTAGTGCGCACTTTCATTAATCCAACTTTAAAGCTGGTGTAAGGTACCTAATGTTCACACGAGTCAATTTTTCGTCACGTTTTCCTTAATGAACAATTCTTCAGTTTTTATTTTTTTGCTGTAAAAAAAAGTCTTCTTCACATTTTATTTCAAAAGAAAATGCAATTTTTAGATAGAACATGTCACCAAATGACATGAGCAAATAAGCGAACATTTTAGCAGAGACCTAACAGTAAAGAAAAGAAAAGATAAAGAAGATAACATACAAGAATAAGAACATAAATATTGTAATAGGATTCAATTAGCAAGGTGAGTGATCAGAAGCGTAAAGAATATCATTTTAAATCAGTGCAGGATTATAAATTTTTTTTTCCACACACTTATTCTTTTTTTGAATAATCATACTTTCTTGAAAATGGCCGGATTACATTTTGCAAGGATTGAAAAAGAAATAGGAGCGACTAAAGTTATGGATTGATATCGAATGGCCGACTTCCTGAAGAAAAATTGGTTTCACATAATCAGCAACAAAGTCTTCGACTCAAAAATTTTTGTCTACTATTCATGATACCAATATCTAGGTACTTGGTGTAAATTGGTAATTTGCTCTTCTTAAAATTCTCACTTTTGATCACGTCTGATAAGTCCTCATCTTATCTCATCAGTCATCATATAAAAAGGAAAACGTTGAACAGAAAAAAGTGGGATAAAAGAAATTAAAGAAGGAAGAAGAAAGCTGAAAATGCAATTTGCTCAAGAAGACTATGCTGAATGCTCAAATGTGGAACGACAACACGTTATATATTTATTTAAAAGTTGAATTCATGAGGAAACTTTAAATTTTTTATTAGTAGTAGCTTGAGGGCACGTCCCGTTAGTAACATTTTTTTTACTTTGCAATCTGCATTTTTTTTAAAAATTTATTTAAATCTATTAAGTAAAATAAGTATATTTTTGATATAAACATGTTTTTTTAATTGTTTCTTTGTGATAGTATTATAAATAAATATTTTAATTATTCGTCTTTTTTTAGTCAAACTGAAAAAAGGCATGCTAACCATGTTTTTGTAAAAGGATGACAACAATGTTTTAACAATTATAAAAATAAATAAATATAGCCAACTTATAATCATTTTTCAAACTAAAAAATGATATTCATAAAAATTTTACAATAACAGTGAAACTTACTAGGAATTTTTAAATTTTAACCTAAATAAAATTATGGTTCAATGAAAATAACCAATTTCATATTATGCATGATGATGGTTGAAATTAAAAGTTGAAAAAATATATACATCTTCTCTATTATAAGTATAGAAATATAGAAAAGAGTATAGAGATTCACAAGTGAAAAAAAAAGGATAATAAATGAGATGTTTCAAGAGAAAATTAATGAAAAAAATATTTTGATGCAAACATTAAAAAGTACAAGATTTAAAAAAGAAGAAGGAAAAAAGAAGAATATTTAAAATACAATTAATGAAAACAAGAAGAAAAAAAAAAAGCTGAAAAATATAATTTTAAAAACCAAAAAAGAAAGGAAAAAAAAAAAAAAAACTTAAAAGCAAGCAAGCAAGATGTTGAACTACAAAAATTTCAAAACCTCATCCATGTTTCTTATATTAGGTAATAGATTATTATAAATGATCTGTGTTAAAAGTTGTGTCAAATTTTATCCTTAAACTAAAATATGTGTTAAAGTTAGTCCCTATGTTAGGCCACATTATAAATCACTCTACTTCTTCTTCTTCTTTTTTTTTTTTTTTTCTGTAATAAAGCACATTTATAATGTACACATATATAATTTCTATCTATTTATTTTACAGAGGAACTAATTTTGGCTCGGCTCTTTAGGTCAAGCACTAATATCTTTAACTCTTTCTATTTAAACGTTTTCCATTCATTAGACTAACTTCAGCATATTGTTTTAGATCTTCCTTTGGCAGAGCCTTCTTATTGATGGGTTAATTTATGACTATTAAATTTGATTAAAATCATATCAAATTAAAAAATGTGAAATAAAAGTTTTTATAAAATAAAAGTTTCTGATGCAAATCTAACAGTTAAAAAGAGTCATTTCAGTAATTTATTTTTTCAGTATTTACTAAAAAATTTCTCTTCTTTTTTAATTCGGATACTAAAATATTTAATACAACTTTCGACAGATGAATTATTTTGTAAAAAGAGAAAAAAAAAAAATCAAGGACCGTCATAAATTTAGCTCTTTTAAGTTGTTATGTCATTTTTTTTTATGGTAAAACACGTCGTAATTGTCATTATGAATAAAACGGCAGGAGCCAGGAGTTTCAAGTTCACATTGGTAGAATATAGTCACGTGTTTGGAATGGTAATCTATTCAATTTGAGGTTGCGGTTTTGTTATGTAATAGTTGAGGAAGTGTTATGCACGTAAAAAATAATTTTGTTAGCTTGGTTTTACTTTTGCATTAAAACAAGGAAATTAAACTGAAAAAATTCACAAAATTAAAAAAAAAACAAAACAAAACATTTTAAAAAGAAAAGTTGAGGAGAGAAAAAAAAAAGAGTGAGACTACTACGTGACATCCTTATTTCTTTAAGAGAGAGTGCACTTGACTCTTTTAATAGTTAATAGATTATTATATATATATATTATAGATTATAAATTAGATAAAAATTTACAACAAACAACACAGAATTGCTCATATTCCATATTAGACTATTAAAAAGTTAATTTAATAGCTAAAATATTAGTTCCTATCAATGGAATGTCCTATTATAAGTTTTGCGCATAAAATAATTACAATGTAAAGGTGATTTTAATAAAAATGAAAAAAAAAATTGAGTGAGCACTGTTTGGAGACAAGTTGAATGTTTTATTAATGATTCGATGAAATAGTTTGGATTTAGGTTGAAAAAAATTACTTTAATAGGAGTAAAGTAAGAAAATATAAATATTTTAAAATAACACGCTGTAGTGAATAAACTGTAAAAGAGTTTTTAAAAGAATTAAGGAAAAAGAAAGAAAAAGAAAAAGTAAAAAAAAAAAAAAGAAATACAAAAAAATTGGGAGTTGACAAGAGATAACTGCAGAGAAATTGATGAAAAGAGGGCTTTACAGATTATAGATTTTTGAAATGTTCTATTAAATCCAGAATACGTCTGTGCTGTATCCTTTGGACAAAAGAAAGAATAACGCATCTTTATCTTTGACCGAAGTTCCTCTTAGGACTTCGAACAAGAAGAATTAGAAAATAAATTCAGGAAAGGAAAAGTGCAACTAGGGCTGTTCATGGGTTGGGTTGGTGCATGGTAGAATTTTTTTTTTCCCACCCCAAAGGGTGCGGGTTGCACATATTTGGCCCCAACGATGTTAGAAAAATTTCACAACCCAACAATGTTCGGGTTGGGTTGGGGCGGTGCGGGGTGGGTTGAGTGGTCGGTTTCAACATTCAAAAAATCAAAGACTTAAAGTTCAATATAATATTCAAACTTCATCATTAAATAGAAATAGCAACCATCCTTATCAGTCCGGCGAGAGAGCACCGGAGAAAGTGGGCAAGACGGCGGCCGAGAGGACTGAGCAATGAGGTGAGAGTTATGAGGGGGTTCACGGGAGAGGAAGAAGAGGGAAAACTAAAAAGGAAGAGGCAAGAAGAGAGGGTTCACGGGAGGAGAGACCGAGAATGAGATTGTGAACCCTAATGTTAGCGAGCTTAAGGTAGAACTTGGACAGTTCGGCTTGGGCCGAAAGCTTGGGGGTATGTTGTGCGGGTTGGGTTGGAGATTGTGGGTTGTTATGGGCCCAACCCGCAATCCGCCCCAAACACTTCGGGTTAGAGGTATAATAGACCGAAAATTTAAAAATAATGCCGGGGGTTACTTTTTTCAGCTTAAGTTGGGGCAGGATGGGTTGGGTTTGCGGGTTGTTCGGGTTTATGAACAGCCCTAAGTGCAACATGTATGGGCTATGGAATGGTCAACTTGAATTTCGCTTTAATTTGGGAAATATGAGGGTCTAAATAAACTGCTTCTGTTCCCTGGTAAATGGTTGTCGACACAATTATAGTGCTTTATGAAGTAAAAATGACACATTTCAAATAATCATAAATTCATAATGTAAGATAGATAGCTGATCTTAGTCGTCAATTAAATTTCCTGCAGTAAACATTATTTACTTTAATTTGTCGCCTATGCTGGTACTTCTCAATGTTTTGTGGTCCTCTTCTTATTAGTCTCTTTATGCTATCTTCCCCGTCATTGTTGTCGTCACAAGATTTATACAATTAGACCAGCGCCATTTAATCTTTTTTTTCTCGGTAAAGTCTGTTTTTGGCTAATTTGGTGTGCTTTTTGGTAGATTTTCAGTCTATCCATCGAATCCATAATATCAACACAACAAAATAGAAATTCGACTATTTATTCAATTTACTTTCAGTCTATTTATCTTTTTTTTTTTAATAAGTAAACTGGATTCAAAACATCACTTTTTTTTTTAAAAAAAAAAGAAAGAAAAGAAAGAAAAGAAAAAGAGAAAATTGCATAATTTACTCTTTAAGATACGGGTCTGAATTTTTACCCCTCATTCTTAATTAATTCCCTTTTACTAATATAACTACTTGATTAAAAATTTTATTAATCAAGAGTAAAAGAATAAGAATTCTAATTGATACATTTTTAAAGGGGTATTGTCTCATTTCCCTCATTTCCCTTAGAAATGACAAAAAGACAAACAATACAAGTATGAGAACAAAAACTGGGAAATTTATTGTCGTCCTGAAACATTTATTAATCAATTGAATGAAGCAAGTAGATTGGTTAATCAAACAGGAGTTGTTGACGAATTCAATTTAGACTTGCATGAGATTAGCCAAAAAAAAAAAAAAAAGTCCATGCAAGTGTTATTTATTTATTTTTATTTTTTTATTTCCTTTTCCCTTTTACATTTCACTTCTTTGACCACAGGATAGCCGGTGTGAACCACTAACTTGAATGAGCTAGAGGTCAATTTTAATTATTTTTTAAAAGAACAAAATATATATTATTCTCCTTCAAATGGTGAATGTAATTAGATCTTGTTAGAACTTTGACGTTTAAAAAAAATGGTTAAAAAATAGATACTGGCTTAAGACAAGTTGCAAGTTGGCACACCAAGTTGCAGAAGACCAAAGAAAAAAGTTAACAGCGGACTTAACAGGCTACCTTATCCATTTTATATCTTTATAAGCGCATAAAAAAAATCAGAAAATTACAAAATTTGCATATTCATTACTTTCAAAAGTTTGTATATATTGTACATGTTGTTAAAAACGGAAACATAGAATTTGAAAAGCATGAAGAAGAATCTACATTGTCCTAGTTTCTAGACAACAAAAGCATATAGCGCATAAAAGACTACAAAGAAGATTAAACACATTAAAATATGGTTAACCCAACAGAGTCATTCACTTTACGTATCAGAAATAGTGCAAAATACTATTTGAAAGCATTTGAAACAGAATAAATGAAGTCCAAGAAGCCAGTGCCTTTAAGAAGTCCTTTGCCAGTTAAGAGTTCAAAATCCAACAACAAGAGGAAGCCAATAACAGCTGCTTTCCCGTTTATTACTTCATTCTTCCCAGTGAAACCAAACCCTTCAAGATTTTCATCAACCACCATCCTTACCTAAAATGCACAACAATATTAAAATAAACAACACTAGAACTGGTGATATTTAATGCCTTTCGCACCAATAGAGCAAAAGGGTTTCTAGTTTCAGCTGAACTCAAGAGTTATGTGGTTACCTCCTCCACATTGACATCAGTTGCAGTTACACCAGGCTGAGCCTTGCCGCTAAACACAATCTCTGCGGACACATTAGGGTTTACGCCGGCTCCTCTCATGTTGATATAGATATTTTCTTCATCAGTTTTCACAGGGAAAACATAGAGTGTCCTCAGAGCAGGTGTTAGAACTCTCAGCACCGGGTTTTTCGGGTACCATTCCTTGATTTCCCCCGTTCGAAGATCGAATGTGCTGTCAGTGGTCGGGCAAACTATGCAGCCATCCTGTATAGAAAAAGGAAGAAATGAGTATTCGTGAGCTTCTTCACCACTCTTTCATACCAAAATATATATCAACTGAAAAAACATTGAAGGAAAGTACATGAAGTAAACCGTTATACCCGTCTAATAGAAATTACTTATAAAAATCCACAAAAGTCACATCATTTTAATCCTTAAATAGGAAATATTGTACCAAATTCAGCATTCATATCTGTTGACGGTGGAATTTCGTCAACAAGATTACGCCGGGTTACTTCTAGATGTTCCGTCGGCTTACCGGCACAAATTTGGTATATATTCGGATTATTGTTGTAAAATGTTGTATTTAGAATGAGTATGGTGCTAAGTGTAAAGACAGTGCTTGAATGGAAGTAAAAAGACACACAAATTTTATAATGGTTCACCCTGTAAAAAAGAGCTACATCCACTGTATAATGTATTTCTCTTTTTCTCTTCTCAGATAAAATAAAATCCAATCTCCTTTCCTCTCTGGGGCTTTGCCCTTTTTATAGGCCACGGACTTCATATGGGCTTCTTTTGGACGGACTGTCACATGGGTTTATAATGATGACTTTTCCCAAGTGGCCTATCATCCCACTTGATTGTAGCCTGTCAACGCCTTTTGGACTGGTCACTCACTTCGTCCACTATTGCGGCTCTGTGGATCCTCTGCGGTTTTTCATTGGTCCATTCCAAGCGGTTTATGGGCTTGTAATCACTTCCTGTGCAGCAGACCTTCTCCAAACCCAGACGCAACCTAGGGATCTCCAACTTATTATGTCAGAGATCTTTCTTGGGGTACGGACCCAGTTGCCCGCATTCTGCCCTCTGCGCCTATACTAGGCAAAGCGTAGCCTCCTTCACGCGGCCGACCCTATCGTGGTACCTTTGATCCGCAGATCATGTAGGCCTCAGCTGCATGTAGGGTCGACGGTCTTATGAATCCCCTCATACGATCGACCCTTTCACCATACGAAGGGGAAACGAATTCCAAGCGTCGACAGTTACCTGACGTGGCAAGTATAGGGCCACGTGGAGCACGGTTATTGTCCGACGCGTAATTGCACATTTTCCCACACAACAGCTGCCCCCAGGTCGAGATTTTCCTTTGGACTGCCTCGAACTAGGTTGGGACTTGCCCTGGCCTTTTTGTTCGCTTCGGGTGTGGGAGCCTAATTCTGAACCTTCCTTGTAATGATGGTTCTGACGCTTCAAGAAGTGTAAACGTCGCGTTGACTCGACTGCCAGGCTGACGTGATCCTTGATTTAAACGGATGAATCTGAGCCGTTGGATCGTGCTTCTTCGGCTTCCCGCCTCCGTCGTTGCCGTTCGATCTTGATCGGTTGCCCCCGCCATTAGATTTACTAGGATCCCATCCAACGGCCAGGGGTCGAGGGTTCATTTCCCTTTAAATGTGCTTCAAACGGAGACCATGTCTATCCAAATTTCTGAGAACCGCCGTTACTTTGCCCAAATTTTCCCAGAATCCTCCCTTTTCCATCTCTCTCATTCCATTCGGTGTTTCGCGAAGTTCTTTTGAGCCAAGCTCCAGATTTCGCTTCTTCTCAAGTTCCTGGTAAGTCCCCTTATGATAACCGCATTTGTGTAGTTTGTACTTTGTCTCTCGGTTTCTGTCGGACTATTACATGCTCTAAGGGAGGTTAGAGACTTACTTTGCGTACACCTGAACTCTTATAGGCTAGCTTTTTTGGTTTCTGGCTGACTGTAGAGAGTTTTGGAACTCTGGGTTTAGGGTATTTGACTGGTGAATTTGGGTTTCTTATGAACACTTGTCGTTCCTTTCTTGTGAACTGTCGACGGCTTTCTGAGCCATCGGCGTTCATACACCTTTGGCAGCCATTAATAGTTTTAAACAATCTTCGCTTTTCTTTCCCTCTCGACTTAGGATTTTAACTTAGCTCTTCACATTATCCTCTCTTTTTTTATATATATTAGAACAATGGCCCCCAAACCTTCTAACCGTAGAGAGGGTCCTTCATCCGTTGTAAGGCCGGACTCGCCTTGCTGAGACCTCATGGACGCCTTCCTCATCGGATGACGACTCTACCCTGAAGGAAGTGGAGAATTATGCGCCTGACCCAAGGGACGAGGCCAACAGCGTCGACCTCCTAGTTGAGGGGGATGATAGCGGCGAAGCTCCTCTGGTGGGAGGAACAGTGTGTGGATTCGCCGCCTCCGTAGTGTTATGAGTGGGGATCCCGATCGTCCATCGTTCACCGCATACATGATAGCCCCAAGGACTCAGAATAGAGACATTATTCTGGCTTTTAAAGACGGGCACGTAGATGGGAGATGGTTCGACTGTCTTCTCCCAGATATAAACTTTAGGTCCAACCTTCCTCCTCCCGGGTACCTTCCAGTATACACCCGGGCATTCACCACAGGGATGACTTTACCAGTTCATCCCTTCGTGAAAGACTTTTGGCATCACTATGGCATCACTCCTGCCCAGCTGGCGCCGAACTTTTGGTATTGTTTCGCCGGCGCCTGGGTTCTATGGAGTCAGCGGTTTGATGTGGACCTGCCGTTGGACGAATTTTTGTATATTTATAAGCTGTGCCACGTCACAAAGAGCGAGAGGTGGTATTTTTTGGGTGGTCACGGGTGATCCAAGCCCATCCTAGGTAAATTAATACAAGGAATCCACTCTTCCTCACATAGTTGGATACCTATGTTCTTCATGGTGAGGGGACCCTTTAATTTCCACCTCGACGACCGCATGCCCCGCCGCTGGAAAGTGCAAACGTCATTTAGGAGGCTAAGTGAGAACCATAGTAAACTGTTCCCCCTTTGTTCCCTTCTTTTTTTTATAATACTGACAGTAACCTCGATATGCAGTTAGCCACGACCGTCCGAAGCTTGCTGGGAACAAACGGGCGAGGATTGAAGAGGCTTTCGCGATTCTAGAGGACGATCGCCATATCGACGCCCTTTTGATCGAAGCCAACCATAGGGAAGCAGGGCTGATTCTTCCTCTCCCGGATCCCACAAACCTCCCTGCCGTTCAAGAGTTTTTTCATTTGAACGCAGAAGGTAAATTTTTTGGCCTCGCCCCTTTAGTTGATTTGATCCATGTCGACCCTTTGCCTCTAACCTTGTTATGTGTAGAAATGGCTTCTCTAAACATTCAACTTCCCGTCAGCCGTCGACCTCAGCCACAGGGGAAATGGAAGGCCAGTATTGGTACTTCCTCTTCGGCATCAAAGAAGAAGAGACCTTTGGGGGGGTGTCTCGGGGTCGACATCAGAGACTCCTGCGCCCAAGAGGGCTCGTCAGGAGGAAGTACAGGTTACTGGGGGAACCTGGACGCCGGTGGTTCCCATTCCGGACGTCGCCGAGGTTCCTCCTCCGCCCAAGGATTGCCTCCTCCTGCCTGAGGCGAAAATTATGGACCCGAACTTCCATGTCCAGGATGTCTCCGACGCCCAAATTGAGGCGATGCTGAATCTTCCTCCCCGCTTCTACCTCGTCTTTCAGGCCCTATACGAGTCATTTTTTGACAAGCATTGGGTCTCCGCCTCCTGTTCTTCTCTGGTGGATCGTCAGCGTATGCAGATATCCTTTCAGATCCATGTAAGCACCAATTGTCTTTTTTTTTTTTTTACTTGACTCTTACCATTTCTTTTCTCTGATTTACTTTTAGGGCATTGTCCTCGCCATCCTTAACCTCATTGACCTAGTCAAGGTTGAGTAACGTGGCAAGAAAATGGACAGCCTAGAAGTAAAACTTACATCTCTTCTTAATGATGCTAAGTCCAAGTGCTCGACTGCCATCGAGGAGAAGAATGTGGCCGCGGCCAAACTGGCGAGCCTTCAAGATAAGCTGGCCAAGCTGACAAGCCTAGAAGATGAGTTGGCCCATCTGAAGGCTTAGGTCGAAGAGACTACCAGGCGGACGGAGGCAGCGGCGAAAGAGGCGGCCGAGGCTAGGAAAAAATATTTTGCCGAGGGGAAAAGGAGAAGAACGAAGCCGAGCTTGCGGCGGTTAAGAATTACCTGGACTCAGAAGACTTCGTCGCTAAGCGTGAGGAAATTGTCGAAGAGTTCATGGCTTCGGAGGAGCTTATCGAAATCCATACTAAGGATTTTCAGTCTGCCGGGGGAAAAATAGTGGAATTGATTAAACAACAACACCCCGAGTAAGACTTGAGCTTTCTATATGTTCCCCCTCTTACTGCTGACGATGACGGCTCTTTCCAACCTGGAGACGGAGATGACTCGGTTGGTGGTGGCGAGAATTAAGAGCACATTTCCTATTTTTTGTTATTTTTTATTATTACTTTGAGACAATAGGCTCTAAGTCCACCGATCTTGTATATATATTTTTATAATTATATAATATGTTATTTCATATCTGTCTTTGGCACCTTTCAGGGCTTAAGTCAAAAAATGTTAATTGCCCCTTAAGGTCGTCGTTTTCGTCTTCCCTCCTTAGAGAAATCGACGATATCCCTTAGGGTCGTCGTCTTAGTAAATTCCTTAAAATTTGCTAAGTAATTGTCTCTCCTTCTTAGAGGAGACGACCTTTAAGCATCCCCTTAGGGTCGTTGTCTTAGCAAATTCCTTAAAATTTGCTAAGTAATTGTCTATCCTCCTTAGAGGAGACGACGTTTAGGCATCTATATACTTTTTTGTGATCCGTAGACCCTCTACTGCCCCCCATGTCTGCTTAAAAACCTCGAATTTTAGGCATGCATGTTATTAAGGGGTTAATTTCTTTGTAGTCTTTTGAACACTTTCTATGAATAAATTGATTCATATTATTGAACTATCAAAAATATAAGTGAAATGCGTAAGAATTCGTACATTATTAGTAATACAGTCTTAACTGCTCTGTATTCTACGGGTGTTGAATCCTTTTGCCGGCGAGGCTTTCTAGAACATAGGTCTCAAGTCGTAGCACATCCCTTATGCGGTAGGGTCCTTCCCAAGTCAGGCCCAAGGGACCAGTATTTTTTGGCTTTGTGCTCTGCGTCACTCT